TTTGAATGAGAACATATAATACTTGCAATGATTGAGCCGGCAGAAGATCCACTTATAATTCTTGGCAATAAACTAGACTCTAGTAATGTTATGACTACCCCAATATGAAAAATACCAAACGTGCTACCTCCAGAAAGAACAAGTGCTGTTCTTCCAATATTTTTTCTCGTTTGAATAAGCATCCCTAGCAAATAACGATCATCCAAGCTCACTTCCTTATTATTTATTAAGTAGTCAAGTGACATTTCACATTCTTTTATATAATCTTCTATTAATGTTTTCGTGCCGACATGTGAATGTCTATATAAATTGATATCTCCCATGTTACCTAAATTCCTAGTCCATTTGGTTCGAATTAGATATAATAATAGCTTGTAATCTTTTGAAATACGGGCATTTTGCATCTCCTCAAGATTATTGTGTACTAGCTCATAGTCATATAGGTTCGATTCTGGATTCACTTTCCACTGATCATTATTTAATAATTCGTCTAACTTCAAGGATATGTCGAACCACTCTTTGTAACTAATCGCCGACTTCTGGTCCGACAATAACTTTTTGATAAGCATCTTTTCTTCATTCAACGCCGGCATTAGCCTATTTATTATCGGTATGGACCTTATTGAAGGAATAAACGAATATGTGGGGCTGGTCGGCTCATCTTCTAACAAATGTGAGTACTGGTTATACAAGGATTCGATTATATCAAAATCAAAAGGACCTACGTTGGTGTTTATTTCCATCCCTGCTACTGTCAACATTAACTCACTCATCTTGCCAGTTCTATCACCTCATACTAATATACTTCACATGAAACAGGTCTGCTTCTTTATCATTATGTGTTGCATGTGACAAGATAGATAAAATGTCGCAAGTGTTTTTCGATTTAACGCGACATTAGAGACATTTTTATATGCAGTGCAACATCAATTTGGAGCAGAGTTCAAAAAATTGTAGAGCAAATGGGCCAAACCTAGCTTCCATAATATCCATGAAAATTATGGTATAATTGACTTTATCCGTTAATATTGATCAAGAAATTTCCATAGTGTTATCCTTTAAAGTTTTTGTTAGGAGATTGCACTCTTCTCAAAAAAAAATCCGAGTACGAAATACCAAACCAGCCCAAAAGCCTTCTGATCAGCATCAAGCGAAACAGTTACACCGCTATCCAAACAAAACCAAGAAACACAACGACTTCTATTCAGGGGCCCATTCTATTGATCCGAGTTTTTTCAAATCAATTAGATCATATTTTGATTTCTTCGAGAAATATATCGACTTTGCTAAATATACTACTGCAATGTTCACAGTTACAACTATATCACACAAGACCAGCGACTCCCGTCATCCCTTGGTTATGTTGACCAATCGTGAAGGATATAGATATCTTTTTGGGAAGATACCAGAGGGGTCGCAAAGAATATTGAATGAGAATAGATTTAGATTAGGTAAATTGAAAAGCATATTCCTAAGCGGAAATATATCTTCGTGGTCAGAAATTGGAGGTCTACCAGGGTTGTTCTTAACTATCAGTGATTCTACAAAGAAAAGTATTGATATTTTCACAAATTCAGGTAAGATCACATCTTTCATCGTTGCAACCTGGAGGTATTTTGTTTTCAGAAAAGGTGTTGAATTGAAAATCAATGATAGCAATGAACATGATATTATTGCTGATAGTAATTTAATTGTCAAGCCAATTAAAATTGAAAGCAATAAAACCACTAGCATAAATGAAGATATATCAAACAGGTTACATCAGCAACTTAAAAAGCTCATTTCATTGATGTTCCCAATGGACACAAGTAAAGTGAACGATCCTGATCCGACTTCGTATAAATCTGACCCGAGTGAAACTGAAATTCAAACTCATGTCAAGCTTCCAAATCCATTTAATCTTCTTCCAACTTATCAACAGCCTTCCTTAAATTATCTTGTTAGATTCCTCCCAATAAGAGGCAAGTTTGATCCAATAAAAGCAAAAAGTTTAGGAATTAAACCTGGTATCGATTTCCGCAAGCTAACTCAAGGTAATTCGATAGTTAATGAACAAGGAGAGACTGTTCATCCACATCAGGTCATTGATGAATCAAAGCTGTTCCTGAAACTATTAATTGTTGATATCCCGAATGCATCTTACTTATCAAATACACTTGACTGTGAAGAATGGTTTAGAACTAATGAAAATATTGGTGAAGAAGAGATCGGTATTGTGTATCATTTTTTAGGTGATGATATTGACTTCAATCAGCCAAAATACTTGGGATTTATTAAAAAGTTCCCAGATAACTGTAAGCATGTTATAAGTCACTCAAAATTATCCGATGATACGTTGATCTTCAAAACTTCAGCTATTAATTTATTAAAATTAAAATGTTTACAGAAAGACAATTTCAATTTGCCGTATATTGAATCCTATAATCCTTTGCAGAGTGATTCTGTTGATTCGATTTATAAACTTCAACAATTACAACAATTCCATATCGAAACTTCATCTATTAAATCGGATGATTCTTTAATTTCTAACGATACCTGGTCATCATTGTATGATTCAAATATTTTACCGTTGGATATAAAGAATATCAATAAGACAGAAATTTTGGAAAGTGAGCCAATATCATTAGACCAAATACCAGGCTCAATGAAAGACCAAGTTCAAGTTGTAACCTTAGGTACTGGTTCAGCGTTACCTTCTATTCATCGTAATGTTATCTCAACGTTGGTAAGAATACCATACATTGAAAATAACACAGTTAAATTTAGAACAATAATGTTAGATGGAGGCGAGAATACTTTAGGAACTATGATGAGAAATTTTGGCCATAATAACAAAGAACAATTAATCAAAATTTTCGAAGAGTTGAGTTTAATACATCTAAGTCATCTACACGCTGATCATCATTTAGGAATTATCTCGATAATTAATAAATGGTTTGAAATTAATACCGATTGCGATAAAAAGCTTTACTTGGTTATACCATGGCAATATAATAACTTCATAAAAGAATGGTATTCCTTGGAAGAACAAAGTTATGATAAAATCGACTTGAATAGAATCGTTTACTTGAGTTGTGAAGATTTCATAAAAGATAGACAGCCCCAATTTCAACAAGTTGATATTGATGAGTTTGAGAAAAAGTATGATAATAATGAATTCAACCAGGTTATACCAAGAGAACAATTGGCCCCTAAGAATCACGTATTAATCAATGACTTGTACAAAAACTTAGGAATAAACTCTATTCAAACTGTGAGAGCGATTCATTGTTATTGGTCGTATTCTATTAGTATTGAATTCTCATTGCCTTCTGAGGAATCTTTCAAAGTATCCTACTCAGGTGATACAAGACCAAATCCAAAGTTTGTTGACATAGGTTATGGGAGTGATTTGTTGATACATGAATCTTCCTTAGATCATGAATTAATTGAAGAAGCTATCTCCAAAAAGCATTCGACCATGATAGAAGCAATTACGGTATCGAAATTGATGAATTGTGCTAAAGTAATTTTGACCCATTTTAGCACGAGATATTCAAATAAAGCAAACATGCTTATCGAGAATAATGAGCTAATTAAACTTTCTAATAATTTGAGAGATTATTTAGTTAGATATGGATCTACACCAAATATTTTTGTTCCCGAAAGGTCAAACAAAAAACCCATAAAAGAGTTTGAAGATTTACAGATTTGTTTTGCATTCGATATGATGAATATAAGATATAATAACTTGCATTTGCAAAAGGATAAATATAAAGAGATCTTGGAGATTTTCCAGACAGATGATGATTTAAATGAAGATTTGAATGAGAAAAGAGAAAAGGAGATGAAAAAGCAGCGTGAAAAGCGTGAGGCTAAGCGAATTCAAAGACTATCTATTAAAAATGGCAAGAAAAAGAGAAGAGTAAGTAGCGATGAAGAAATCGATTGATAAAATCTTTCATGTAAATAGTTCTGTATAGGTTTGAATTAACGCACTAAATAGTTTTTTCAATCAAAAAAAGATAATTATCAAAAATTCTAGTAGATGAATATAAATATAAAGTATCCATTGGTATTACATGATAGCTGGCTATTAGAATCAATCACAGCACATATCAATAAAAATGTTAAGTATACAAATCCATTGATAAAGAAAAACTTTGTAAGTCCATGGTCTATAAGCAAGACACCAATATTAAGAATCCTAAGGTTTTTGAAAACAACGAAATCGTCTGATCTAACTGCGATACTAAGCGATTCGACTCATACCGTGATAGCTATATTTCCATTCGATCCAGCAATAATCAATTTTGAGATTCGTTATAAACATCGAATTACGTACCACACACAAAACAGTCTAATATTGATTAAGCAAGCGAACTTGCGTTTTGTGAATAATGTCGAATTGACGACCGAATGGGGTATCACCATTGAAGATGAGATCGATGTGGCAGTTTTGGAAGTGCTTGATCTAGAGGTCTTTCAAAGAGACCAGATTATGTTAGGGGTCAATATTGAAAATAATTTGCAACTTATATATTACGATAAATCATACCTAGATTTGTGTGGAAAAAGTAGGAAGAGGGATTTGTTTGGAGAGAAAGAAATTAAAGAAGTTATACTGCAAAGTTATGACGATGTCGTATCCATATAAATGCACACTTATACCTGAAATTATCTTTGGCGAATCCTAAAGACTTCTAACCTTTGACCAATGGGCCATCCTTCCGAATGATTGTAAATATTACATTATTGACAGCCCCTAAAATAGAACCCAGTTGGTTCTAGAATTAGTTTTATGTGGCTTGTTTTCTTAGTTCACAATATACAGAATTGGAACTAAGACTAATAAGCTACACCGAATATTTATTTTAATTAATGTATACCCGATATATAGGTTATATGTTGTAAATTAACGCCAGAAATACCGTTTCTAGAGTCATTGCTAAGTTCGTGAATAGTAAAATCATTGTAATGAGAATATTTATCCGGAGTATAAATTTTAGTTGCAAATTGAGATGTCAATTTGTGGTTGCAATATATCAATTTATATTCCTTGTTTACAATTAACAACTATATACGCCACAATGAAAGAACCCTCCCATGAACCCAATTACGGTGCAGGCCACGAAACCAATTGGAACGCCAGTAACGAATCTATAGCATCTGATATTTCGAACGAATCGATTGATGAACATGATGACCACAGATCTGTAGACCATTTTGCAACCACAGGGTACGAGGTATCTTCATTCAGAAGAGTGAAAAGATATGTTAAATATCTTTTAGGTTTGAGAAAATCCCATAGGCAGCCGTTATTACCTCATCATTCTCCACCACCATCGCCATCACCACCTAGGCGCCCAATTAATTACATAATTTTTGACATCATTTGGAACAGAATTTTGACCGAAGCAAACCGGGAGTTGTTGGTAAACTACAAATGGGTGTTCTTTCTCTTGTCTATTTTGATTGTGGTTGCTGTCCTAGTAATCACAAACAACTTCGAATATTTACAACAGTTTCTCAAGAACCTATTTTGTTATCTTTTAAATTGTTTACGCAATGGAACTACAGATTGTTATGTATGATATATATTAAGAGCTATTTATTGATTTATATTTACAAGCATGAATAAATTAACGTCTTGGTCTGTCCTTTACCTTCATTTTGTTTACGTTCTTGAACTTTCTAGTCTTGGCAAACTTCTTGAGACCCCACATAGATTGAGAAACCTTGTTCGACTTCGACTTACCTCTACCACCACCGTGTGGGTGATCGAATGCATTCATAGCGACACCTCTGACCATTGGACGTCTTCCCCTATGACGGCTCCTACCAGCTTTACCCCACGAGATGGCCTGGTGCTCCTTATTAGAAACTGTCCCTAAGGTGGCATGACAGTTAATGTTGATATAACGATGTTCTCCCGAACTTAATCTAACGATAGCCTTGTTCATCTCTGGATGCTTGGACAAAATTCTACCGAATGTACCGGCCGATCTGACTAGTTGACCACGGCCATTTGGATGCAAACCAATGTTGTGGATGATCGAACCCACTGGCAACATGTTCAATGGTAAGCAATTACCTCTTTGCATAATTCTCGAATTCAATAATGCTTCATCGATTTCACCATTATTTGTTTCGTTCATTTCCTCAAGGAAATCCTTTGGTAATCCCTTTCTAAATGACTCTACCACATCGCCCTCTCTCAAACCACTGGCCGCCAAGATATACGATAAATCTCCCGTCTCGTCGTGTTTCACCAACGCAATATGACCAGATCTATTAGGATCGTATTCAATTCTCAACACAGTTTGCTTACCGCCTTCTAATCTATGCGAATCCACAAATCTATAACGCTGCTTATGGCCCCCTCCTCTACCACGAATGGTTATATGTCCCGTATTGTTTCTACCGGCAGTTTTTCTCTTCGAGACCGTTAATTCTCTCACCGGTCCTCCTTTGTACAAATGATCATGCACTGGCTTCTTGAAATTGGTGGAACCAGGCTGCAAGTGTCCGTTCGCATATGACTTCAACTTAACATGCGCTGATGCTAACTTTCTCTGTCTTTTATATATTTCATCTCTTTTTTCCAAATCGGTTAAATTCGCCTCTCCTGCTTCAGGTATAGTACTTTGAAATCTGTTTAATGTCAAAATGGACGTCTTAACCCCTCTTATAGGGTTGGCTAAGCACCTTCTCGTCCAAGGTAACATTGTATTCCCTGTATCCGTTAGATATCAACCTACTATGCTAGATCGTTGGATTGAAAAGTGAAAAAAATTGAGACGTATTTATGGTCTCATATTTACCTAACGATTTTCAGAACGCGTGTAAATTTCAGTAACCAATAATTTTGTAGAATGTCTAGTGAGAAAACCTAGCGTCTCCGAGTGTTCAAACAACTTATATTCATATAGTTCAAGGATATATTCATATAAACTACATAAGATACTATAGAAAAATGATGGCATCTCGTTTCTTCGTCCGTTCTATGGCCTCAGCCGCCAAGTCAGTCAAGCCACCTGTTCAATTGTTCGGTGTTGACGGTACTTACGCTAATGCATTATACTCGGCATCCGTCCAAGATTCATCAGTTGAAAAAACGTACCAATTTTTAGGTACAATCAACGAATTAGTTGAGAATGATGCTCAAGTCAAGGACTTTTTACATAACCCAGCTTTAACCAAGGATGATAGATCCGCCGTGATTAAAGCACTTTCATCCGGATTGAAATTAGACAAGACCACTTCCAACTTCTTGAATGTTTTAGCCGAATACAACAGATTATCTCACTTCCAAAATGTCTACAAGGAATTTGCCAAGTTGAACGATGCCCACCAAGGACTCGTTGAAGCCAAGGTTACATCCGTCAAGCCATTAGACTCCAAGATCTTGAAGAGATTACAGGCTTCCATTGGTAAGTCATCATTTGTTGGGGAAGGTAAGACCTTAAAATTGACTAACGACGTCAACCCAGATATTGTTGGTGGTTTGGTTGTTGAAGTTGGTGACAGAACTGTTGACTTGTCCGTCTCAGCTAAGATTGCTAAGTTGAACAACACCTTAGGTGAAGCTTTATAAGTTATGAACTTTTGAGTTGCCTATTTAATTTATGTTAAAATCTGATACTAGACCAGCAGGTATTTGTATAATATCGCTTCCTTACTTTTTTTGAATATACATTATCAATGATGAACAAGGTGTATTGTATTAAAGTCAATATATATTTATGAAACTAGCAGTGGAATGCCTTGAACCTTGTAGATTGTGTATATTTGGCTAAATGTAGAGCAAACTGCCTGGCAAAACATACTTGACGTTGCTGTTAGCAAATCATACTTAAGATATCACAGGCTGAAAACACCCCGACAACTGTGATAATTTAGTGGTAAGATGCTCGTATATCCGCTCTTTATCCCTCTCCTCTATCAGACCTAGGACGTGTAAGAGTAATCACTTCTATGTAAGCAGTTACAGTTGGTATAATTTGCAATGCCAGAAAGCTAGTAGTCCTGCATAATAATAACTATATACTGTTCATGAAATGGCACAGTACTATTCAGATGAACATTGTAGCAATTAAGCAGTACATAGACAAAAGGAGTTAACAATGTCTGGAGGTGGTTTTAAGGTCTTCAAGTGGATTATTGTTACAGTAGCAATTGCTTTCAATATTCTAGTCTATTTTTATCCTGATATTTTAAATGATTCACAGCAATGCAAATGGCATGAATTTTCAGATTCTGGGAGATTGAAGAGTAAACTAGGCTTTATCAATGGTTTGGATCAATCAATAAGTGATAAGATATTGATGAATTTACCATTCTTGCAAGATGTTAAAATGCTGAATACTAAATCGCCTTATGATTTACATAATGATGTTAAAGACATTCATCTTTTGGCATTTGGCGATCCACAAATCAATGGAAACTGGGCTCTGACGAAGTATATCAAGAGATTAGATAACTACGGAAATGATTACTATTTGGGTCATATCTATACCACTATGAAAGAAAGATTAAATCCTAGCCATGTAGCGATAATGGGTGATCATTTTTCGTCGCAGTGGATATATGATTCTGAATTTTACAATAGAACCTACCGATACGTTGAACGGTTATTCACAAGACCAATTGAATACAAACAGAATGTCATTGACGTACACAAAAAGCATGAGGATTATGACTGGCAAAAATGGTTGAGCGAAGAAGTAAACTTGGACCCATTGGTAAGATTCAACTCTAGGGTTTACAACGATGTTTATGACTGGTATAATTTAGACAAAAAGTATCCAAATTTTGAGAATCCTCTTTTCATTAATTTAACTGGTAATCATGATATAGGATATAGTGGAGATGCAACGTGGCAGCATATGGCTAGATTCCACCTTTTATTTGGTCAAAATAATTATGTCATTAATTATAACAAGGGAACCCCTGAAGAATGGAGGATAATTGTGTTGGATTCATTAACTTTAGAAGGACCTGCGTTACAAGAAGAGTTTTTAAATTATACTTGGTCGTTCGTGAATAATATTGAAAAATATGAAAATAAGGACTTCAAAGGATCAACAATTTTGTTTACTCATATTCCGTTCTACAAAAAGGAAGGTTTATGCAAAGATGGTCCCGAGCACAAGTACTACGTAAACAATACGCAAGAACCATACAAGAACGGCAAATTAAGATCTCAGAATCATTTATCCTATGATTCTACCCAAAAAATCATGAATATTATGTTCCCTAAAGATTCTAAGAATGGAATAATATTAACAGGGCATGACCACTATGGATGCAACAGCTGGTATAATTTATTAAGTGATACTTGGGAAGCTTCTGAATCTGTAAAATCTGCAGGAGAAAGGTTCCCTGTTAGGGAAATCGTAGTTGAATCAATGATGGGAGATTTTGATGGTCAAACAGGTATACTTACCGGACATTTTGATAAATTTAAACAAACATGGTTGTTCGAATTCACCTACTGTTCATTCTTAGTACAACACTACTGGTGGGCATCTAAGATTTTAACAGTTGTAGCTGTGTTCCTTCTATCAACCGGATTTTTATTTAAATGGTAAGACGATATAGGCATAAATTCATTTAAATACTAATATATCATATATAACTATTCATGAACTCTTATTCGGCCTTTAATTCTTCTTTCAATCCATCACTTGTAGCTGGTGGAGCTTCTTCGTTTGAAGTCAATGCTTCTTTTGCTTCTGAATCTTTCGGCTCTAATCCGTTGGGTTCTGGGCCTTTGGACTCTGCTTCTTTCGATTCTGAATCCTCTGGCTTTGGATCGTTTGATTCTTGTTGATCTTCGGACGAAGTTCCAATGAAGGATTCTATGTCAGTCTTAGCACTATTGAAACTTTCTTCAGGACTGATGGCGATTTTCTTGACCTTTAAAAGGCCATCAACGAAAATCCAATGGGACCTCTTAATACCAGTAGGTTCCTTCTTAGCTCCTAAGATTTCAATCAATTCTCTGGATGGATCTGATAATAAAGGATACTGCAAGCTTTGCTTGGTGACAAAATTCTTCTGAGCACTTGGCTGGTCGGCTGATAATCCATAAACCTTAGCATTCGATTTTTGTAAAAAGCCAAAATTCTCTTGGAAGCCGCAAACTTGTCTGGTGCATCCCGGAGTAGATGCCTTTGGGTAAGCAAAAATAATAACGTATTTATGAGCTTCAGCCTCCTTTAACAAGTCAATTTCATTCTCTTCTTCGTCTAATAATTTAATATCTGGCATTTTATCGCCCACTTGCAATTCTTTAACTGAGCTAGTTTGTGCCTTCTTAGCTGGTGGCTCAATCTGAGACTCAGATTGGGTCTCCTTTGTTGGAGATGATGTTGGCTTGGAAGCAACTCTAGCAGAACGACGTAATTCAGGCATTATTTTTATATTTTTATTGTAATAATTGTAATTAAAATTAATCAATTAGTAAAATCAGATAAATTTCATTTTTTGGCCTTCGATAATTGATTCGATATATATATATCGGTTCAGTGCGCCATAGTAAAATAAAGCAATTTTACCATGTCTCCTCCCGTGTAATATATTCCGATTCGTACTTCAACTGCTATACAACTATTACTCTTACGGACCATATCTATATGTCTATTCCGTCTGAAGACTTGTTGTATCAATTTTTTCAATTTATAAATATCCGGAATGATTTGTGTCCGTAGTAGCAATTATTGTACTGCTTGCTTTCTCTCTCTTTCTATTACCCCTTTTTCTTTTACGCAAAGTTGAAAGTTGATTTGACTCGCTAAATGAGCCTAAATATGGTCAACGATGAAACTACATGATTGGACTTATAAATAAGGTACGGAAACGCTCTAAACGCCATGTATACGCTAGTTATTGAATTGTGGTTCGTAGTGAGTAGAAAATGAAAACGAGATGAACAAATTATAAGAAGACCTACAGTATATATTGGCCATTCTGTAACCTTTAAAAGTTCTAATAAGTATGATGTTACTCAACTAATGTAGCTAACCTTTTCCATATTCATTTCTAGTCAGTAGAAGCAACTATGATAATGGCTGTGAAAATCCTTTGACAGTTTGTTTGCGTGTTATTACCAAATGGTGGGGGAAGCTCCATGATGGTTTTATAATAGTGCCTAAGTAGTTTAAGCAGTGTCAAAAACAACAGTAGGAAAGGAATTGATAGGAACTGCTTACTGTACGGTAGTGTAACCTATGTAAAGCAGTGGATATATCGACTAATTCGAGAAGTTATTTATTCTATATTCAAAATGATGGTTGTAAAAAAAGACTTCGTTTTTACAACCATCTGCAAATTATTTAAAGGCATGTAGTTTCCTGCTTCAATTGAGTACCTTGTGCAACACAAACTATTACATATTCAGATTATTTTTGCTATGTCTTGTAATAGCTATTTATCGAATTTGAATACTTTGTCTCAGGTGGCAGCCTCCATTCAGACAGACATGGGTAGCGATAATGATCATTTTGAAGATATTTTTGCGGCAACATCTCAAGATATTAAGAACCCGTCACTTTTAAGCAGCCCTATTTCATCCCCCTTGGAGAATGAAGAATGCTTTCCCGAAAAGAATACAAGATTAATTAACTCGGACGAAAGTCTTGAACTAGTTAATAGTCTCTTGTGCTTGAAACACAGGAGTTACAGTTATGGTCCTGGGTTGGACTGCAAAAGCATATCAGTTCCTCGTTCGCTAAATGGAGATAAATGTGTCCTTAAAGCAGCCAAGCTACTCAATAAACTGAAGAAGAGTAAACCTCGTCTTCATATTAAAAGGAGACAAGGCCAAGGGCGACCTTACACCAACTCCCTTAAGGCTAGATTCTACATGCATGACTCAATCGAGGAGCTATACTGCTACTTAAACAACATTCTGGCGTTCAGGTTCCACGAACCTTTTTCCATCAAACTGAAAGACTATCTATCTACAAGAATGTCTCCAAGACTGCCTCATTTCAAAATGATATTCTTCAATAATCCACCTCCTACAACAGATCTATATGACAAATTATGCGAGGCATTTAAAATTGCAAATTTTAAATTTGTCAGGATCAATAGAAACATTGAAGGGAAGGTGATAAATATTGAAACTGTTCGTAAAACGGATAGTATAATTACCGCGGAGTGGATAAAGCAGAACGTGTGCCGTCCAAGATACAAATCAAATATGAAAATTTACTTGATTAGATCTAATCAACCCATGAAAGAATGCATATACAAAGATAAGAAAGTGTTTGAACTCGATATAGAGAATGTGTATGACAGTGTGGTTAAGATTATTGAGTAGAATACCCGTCTATATTATGTATAATAAAGCATTTTATTTATTAGTTTGTGTGTGAATCTAGATTATACTTTGAGGAACATGACCACCAGGAGTAAAAAAGTTCCTTATCGAAAATAGTGCGGCAGAAACATCATCACATATATAAAAGCGCAAAAAACTTCATTCTGATGTTCGAAGATCTTTAACCACCATGAAAATCTTTAAACGCAGACGATTCACGATTTCGGCACCAGATTCAGCCAGTAGTTTAGATAGCAGAGATGAAGAACGGAGGTTCAGTTTACCGTATACGAACCATGAAATATTATATTTTCCTGATCATACACCTAATAGTATTAATAACGAGATAGCCAACCATGAAATCTCTCCACAAACTTCTGTTAGTGAGTCAATAGCTTTATCTGAGAGTGATACTTTATTGTACGATAAAAAACAACAATTAGAGTTGCAAGAAACGTATAATGATAATTTTACATTATATTTACCCTTTTTATTGCGGCAGTTGAGAAATGCAAGGGATGAGCTTGTTGAGATGGCAGATAATGATATCGATAGTGATGACCAGAAAACTATGATAGACGAAAATAATATAAGTCCTTGTTTAATCTTGAATAAAGAAGTATGCAATTTTAATTTGAAGCGAAAGTTTATCATAGTTCAAGAACTTTTGAAGCATAATACTTATTTATTCGCAAGTGAAGAGTCGTTCAAGTTATTCAAGCATTTGCGTCTGAATAAGAAAAAGGATTCAAAAAACCTGAGGATTGTATATGATGCGAATGGAAGTATTAGAAGACTATCTGCTAGTAAAAGGAGTAAAAGAGGAAATGATATACATAATGACGAATTAGTTGACAATAGAACACACATAATACCATTGGAATATAAAGTAAAGGGTTTAGGTCTACCTATATTCAAAATTCATACCCCCTATTTATCATCATTTAGGAAAAATTCCCCATTCTTAGTCTTCAAGAAATATAGAGAGATTCCTTTGAAACCGACCTTACAAGACTGCCCAAGTAACGAAAATTCAGATAGCCTGGCAGGCTACGAAGCATACGTTTTTTGTTCTGTTTACGTAAAGCACTTCTACGATGTCAGGCGATATATTTTAAACTTTAGTCCAATAAGTAAGAAGCCATTCCGTATAATCATATTTCAGCACAACTTCAAGCCGTTTGCGGATTTTAACTACCAAAATACAAGATTCAGAGTTGTTGGTACTTCGTTATCGTGTGTTTATGTAACAAATTATAGCCCTATCATGAAACTAATGATAATTGATCATGATAAACCATCGTTATGTGACGATATTATAAATAAAAAGACTGGGTTTGAAATTCTGTCCATAATTAAACATAAAAATAAGCATCCAAATAATAACTCAGCAGATAATACAGACAATGATTCAAATAACGGTGTGACTTTCAGTAATCCATATCCTGATCCTACGGGTCCATTATTAGCCGATTCTGCGTCTTTAAGAAGTTTAACTAGCAAGCGTGCATTTATGTCCAGATCGATGCCACCTTTTGGCATTTTTAAAGACTCCATGTTGTATGATACTGACACAATTAATTTTATACCCAAGAAGTTTTCAGACACAGGTAAAATTGAAATATACCAAGATAATTCAAACTCAACCGAAGATCCAAATAGTACTTTATCAATCGACTTAGATAGTTTAGTGATAAACTGTATTTTATTAACATTGAGAGAATCTAATATCAGAAACTCTGTCAAGACTACTGTTCCACAGGCTATTACTTTTCAAGATTGATGATTATGCGTCTGGCTCGTTCAATATACAATGGACTTATATTTATTAAATAATATGAATGTTAAACAAACATGACATATGTGTTAATCACAAGGCTACGGTAAAATTATAGAGTGGTTTGACGTAAAATTGAAAAATATTCCTTTCGAATAGGGGTAGTTGAAAGAACGACCCAAGTAAATGAATACCTTATTTTATGCCAGCTATATTCTCATTAAAACTTAACGACCGCATTTATAAATAAAATTACCTTTATTAAAATAGTACAGATTCGTTTACATAAATAAGGGGAATCGCAAACGAATGTATTATTATACTATATACTTTATGAATAGAGGACTTATTATTATATTCATTGAGGTGATTTGGACCTTTCTTGTTGAACGGCTTCTTGTGTAACAGTTTCTTGTGTAGAGGTTTCTTGTCTTACTGGAGATTTTGGCTTTTCCTGTCTAACAGGCGACCTTGATCTTTCTTTTCTAACAGGCGACCTTGACCTTTCTTTTCTAACAGGCGACCTTGACCTTTCTTTTCTAACAGGAGATCTAGAGGATGGTCTTGAATGGCTGTTCCCTTCGTATGGCATCTCATTACTACGCTCTGCATGATTATCGTTGTTGTCAATCGATCTATTATCGTATGTTGGCTCTCTCAACTGGCCATCATGGCTCGATCTGTAATCACGATCATTATATTCATGGTTTTGGTAGTCACGATCATTATAGTCCCGATAACCGTAATCGCGGTCATGATAACCACCTCTACCACCACGATAACTACCTCTTGAGCCACCATAATATCCACCTCTTGAGCCACCATAGTAGCCACCTCTATAACTACCACCGTAGCTACCACCATAGCCGTAGTCGCTATTGTAGCCACCATAATCATTATAGCCGCCTCTACCACCTCTATAACCACCTCTTGTGGCGTAACCGTATCCACCTCTTGGGGCGTAACCGTATCCACCTCTTGGGGCGTAGCCGTATCCACCCCTTGGGGCGTAGCCATATCCACCCCTTGGAGCGTAGCCATATCCGCCTCTGCCTCTGAAACCACCACCTCTTCTTGCAGAATAGGGATCGGATCTGGCCAATTGAACAACTAGCCCATCTTTCAACGAGTACGGTAACTGTTTTCCATTTAGTTCTAAGGCCTTTTCACAATCTTCAGGATTTTTGTATTCCACAAACGCATATTTTTCTCCGTCGTCAGTTCTTGGTGGAGGGATATCTAATCTTACTAAATCACCATATCTGGATGTCAGTGTTATTCTCTCTCTGTAGGATTCTTGATTATTATTCTCGGGGGAGCTAGGAAGATATTCAGGAAATGTAAAACAGGAAATAGGAGATTAAATCAGGCAAGGAATAATCAGGAAAATAGGGAAACTTCAGGGAAGGATAATTCAGGAATTGATCAAGGAAGGAATAATCAGGGAAGTAGGAAAATAAAGGATACTGAGTCTCAATCAACGAGTCTCAATAAATACTAGCAAAATTAATATAGGATTCTTGCAAATCCAAATTACGCCGACCAGCAGCATTCATACATATAGCTATCCATGATACATGCCATGCAACCATCATTTGCACTGATCTGCTGCCAATCGGCTTTTCAGAGATATGAAAATAATAAAAAAGATCAACCACTCTTGCATACATACTTTTCAAAATCGGGCGCCAAATCAGCAGCCTTGGACTCCTTCGAGAACCCTGTCACATATAATGTATCCAGCGGCATCTTCCTTGTTTTTCGTTCTATATGCTAATTACACCTCAAGTCTCTACTAGTGTTCTTCTATTCCCGTAGAAGGCCAATCGAAATCAAAATGTCGTGTCCCAACCCATTATGAACCTCTAGCCTATATGCCCTCCAGATCTCATATGGTCAAATTTTGTCGCTTATGGTGTATGGGGTGTATGGTGTATGGGGTTTATGGTGTACAAACGTATTCTGAAAACAGCGTATCTGTATCTCATTACACTTCCTATCCTCTAGTTAAACCATCTCCTGGATTTTTGTGTCATCTTTCTCTCTCCCCTTATTTATCGTATGACGTTCCCAACAAAATGTCCGATCCCAACAATTCGCTAGGAAATAGTTCTGCATATTTCTTACCCGAATACTTTAGGAGAAATCAGAGTTATATGTAGTACTTTTTAGATGGCAGGTGCGTATGTGACGACCTGTATACAATGGCCCAGGCTCTGGCAGAATTTTACTCACCTTGTAAGCAAATGTGTATACGTTTATTAAAATGTGTCTTTTTTCATAAGATAGCAGCGGAAATTAATTAAAAATTGGACTTTTAGTAGATTAAGAATACATACTAGAAAGCTTATATCGGGAAATTAATAGTCCAAGTCTAAAGTGGATTTAAAACGCATTTAGAAATTAGCCGCCCAGGAACTAGCGATATGTCATCGATAACCAACGATCAGTTGTTAGAACACAATTTTGTGAATGATATGTCAAATGAGAACGAACAGGACATTTTGGATGAATTTTTGGACCAACGGGTGTACGAGTCGATAAATTTGCCTGATAGTAACAGTATTAAGGTGGAAACAGACGACTTGTTAAATGATTTTTACAATAATAACGACAGCAATGATAGTAATAATGATGGAAGTAACTACGGAGGCGGAAGTGGTAACGCGAACTACTTGTTGAATCAGTCGCAGATGAATACGCCTAATAATGATTACATGTATCTTGATAACATTGGGTACAATGGTACCAACAGCGAGTACACGAGTCCTACCGATGCGCCTCAGATGAACATTACGAACAAGTTACAACTTTCTGACTATGATATTGTGAGAGATGATTTGTCCAAGTTGAAGTTTGGCACGACCAATATGAAGCTGTGTCCCACATCCGTGGATGTGCCCGACCAGTCGTATCTTGATTTTTCACCGCAAGCCATGGATTCATTACCGTATAAATTGACATTAACCAACTTGCCCAGCTACTCGCGAGTGGAAACGCAGATTAAATTCAAGTTCGGGTTGAGTCCGCCTCCTCCACACGTTCTTTTACATATACCCCAAGATTTAATATCCAAGAATAAATTCTGTCTTTCGAACGGGGTGGATACATTGGCACCTACCTTGAAGGAGAGCCTATTATATTTGGACACATACGTGTTGACGTCTGATTATAAGAAATCGTGTAATATTTGTTCCAGATGTATCAAACGTGAGCAAAAGCGGGCGTCCAGAAGAAAATCTGGCGTGAATGGTAACGAATCCGACGCGAATAATGACGCCGCTAATGATAACAACACCAAGGAAAACGGTAAGGGTTCTTCTAGCTCATGGGCTGACGATAAGATGATGAAGAAGGCAATTATTTTCAACTGTAAAGAAATCGTTTCCTTTCCTCCCCCTAATGGTTTAAATAATGATTTATCGAAATCGTTAGACCTCTCTGCTAGAATAATATGTTACTGCAGACATCATAAAGAATCTCAAGGATTCAAATTATTGTTTGTCGTGAAGAATCACGAAGGAAAAGTGGTTGCAAAACAAATTTCGTCAACTATAATGATAATGGATAGAAAGAAAACCACTGCTGCTTCGAAAAATAAAGTGAACGAAGACTCTTTACCTAATTCTGTTTGTGGCTCGTCGACTAACTTGCAACAAATGTCAGGAGACCAACAACAAAGACAACAAAGACTGCCTAAAGAATCTGATAATGACATATTATCAAATTCTTTCCGTCAATTATCCTCCAACTCAATAGATGAATCCAACTCTGAAGCCCAAACTAATACCGACACTAATACATTTTCGGAGGGAAGAAACTTAAAGAGAAAGAAGTTATCTGTGGACGATTCGTTCAACACTCAAACTAATCCTATGTTTAATGGCAGCGTCAACGCATTGTCACCATTAAGTAATAGTGATACCAATACATCCACGAGCAATATGTTGACAAAACCTAATAATCAATTGCCTTCGCATGGTCAACCATCATTTGGATTATCGCCATTAAGTCATCCCCAATTAAATACACAACAACCTAGATTACCATCAATTCAAAGAATTATACCGGCCCAGGGACCAATTAGAGGTGGAATTGAAATCACCTTATTAGGGTTTAATTTCCGCCAAGGGTTAGCCGTCAAGTTTGGTGCAAACCAGGCTTTGGCTACTCACTGCTGGTCAGAAACAACATTGGTTACGTATTTACCTCCTGCATCGCAGCCAGGCCAAGTCTTGGTTAGTTTTGAAGATCACGAAAATGTGATGATAGGTGGACCACCTCAACAACAAATCTTCACTTATACTGATGATACCGACAAACAGTTAATTGAATTAGCCTTACAGATAGTTGGTTTGAAAATGAACGGGAAATTAGAGGATGCAAAGAATATTGCGAAAAGAATCGTTGGTACCGATAATTCAAGCATTAGTGGTACAAATAGTAATGTTGCATCACCTGCCAACCAGCACAATATGAACCAAGCTAATATTGAATGGTTTGATAGCGCTCATAAAGCTGTTTTACAATTAACCAAATCGGATTTGTCAACTGAAGAAATCTTGATTAATTTCCTTTCGTTAGTCGACCTACCAAATTGCCCAATCATAATACCAAATTGGCAATTATGTAATGGTCAAGGACAAACCTTATTGCATTTGGCCTCTTTGAAGAGATATAGTCAATTAATTAAATTTTTGATCACGCATGGCTGCAAAATTGATGTTAAGGATAATCAAGGCTTAACACCACTTTTCTTAGCATCTATGTGCGGTTACAGAGATATGATTCAAATTTTTGTTGCATGTAAGAGTAATTGGAATTTGAAATTGTCAAATGATAAATTATTGAAAGATTACTGTGATCCAAACGTGTTGGATGTTTTCAATAGCTTAGAAGACCAGGATAATGAAAATGATGTGGACGATTTCTCTAAGTTCCTCTCAAAGGATAGCAAATTGGCTAAGTCATTGAGTTTAGATTCGTTGAATTCAATGTTTGCTATGAATTTCGGGTGCCATGTATCAAAGATGGTCATGGAAGATTCGGTCAATCATTCAGGTGGCTCAAAACTCGAAAGTGGTGATAGATATCTCATGAGAGAGGAATTAAATTCGAGATCGAATGATAATGACGGTAGTGGGTTTTCCCATGCTGATTCAGATTTGGGTAACTCTGAATTAGCCGATTCTGAATTAGCAGATTCTGAATTTGAATCAAATGACGATGACAGATTTTATAATGATGATTATTATGAAAGCGAAAGTGATGATGACTACGATGATGAAGAACATGGTGATAGTTATGACAACAGAGAGTTAAATATAGCCGAAGTTGGCGGTGTTTTGAATGATAATCAATCTTTATGCTCAAACTCAACTATTTTGCCATCGTTATCAAATAATAATGATGACGAGGACGAGGAGGCCTTGTCGCAGAATTCAGCAGGATTATGGCAGAAGGTTAAGAATGTATTTAGCAATGATGAAAGTGACAGTCAGTTACCATCTTACGATGACTTGTTTCCTTTTGGCCCTTCGTCATTCCACCTGAAACCAAAATCCTCTGTTGAAAGAAGCCTTAATAGTGTTGATGATGATTCAAATACTGGTAATAGTTCTAAGGTGATTACTGGAACTTCGCGTGATGATAATCAAGAAGATGCGGGTGTTTCTTCAGATTCTTCGGAAGATATGGTCATATCTTACATTAATCATCCTCGCAAAAATGTTGAAAATGATAAAATGTTATTATTTTTCTGGTTCCCAGCATTGGTCTGTATTATGGCATTATTTATCTTCGTCTATATCATGGGTTACAAGTTCGTGTTTATTGAAGACTTCAAGCATTACATTAGAACAACAATAGGAAATTTAATGGTTGGTAATGAAAGAATTGGTAAACTTTTTCACTCATCAAATGGAGCAGGGGTAGAGAGGGTGTTACTGGCAACTCGTAAGATAATTAACGAGTAGGGAATTTGTAGTATTTATTAATTAGGATCTTTTTTTTTAATTTTGGCTTTACCGTTTCATTTCTTGTTATACTATAAATATAAATTAATTACATTATTGTTCCTTTTTCCGCGATCTCATCTTGGTGATGTGAAATATTTCTTCCAATAAAATATTCCGTATTTAAAATCAATACTAATCTGAAAATAAGTGTATATCCTAAAAGTAAAATGGTTCACGTATTGTTACTAAAGAACCAGACCGTACCGAAAGATCCATACCATGATAAATTACAGGCGCTGGGATATAATCCTGTGTTCATACCATTGCTCGAACACAATCACTATGATAGGAATTCAACCGTAGATTACTTAAAAAGTAAGGAGTTTTCCAACATACGAAATTTTATAATTACGAGTCAAAGGGCTGTCGAGTGTTTTAATGAATGTATTCAAGAGATTGACGACGAGAACATTAAACAAAATATATTCCAAAAAATTGGATACACTGTGGGGCCTGCAACGGCCAAGATATTAAGTGAAGCGGGATTTAAGAATGTCAAAGGTGGTAGTGATGCTGGTAATGGACTGATATTATCCAAAATTATAATCGACGAAATTGCACCTGAAGAGGAAATAGTGTTTTTTACTGGCGAAATTAGAAAAGATATTATACCGAAGAACTTGAAATCAGCCAATATTAATATTATGGAAAGAGTAATATATAGAACGGGTTTGAGGGAAGATATTAGTGAAAGCTTCAACAAGCAGCTTTCGTTGTTAGACCAAACTAATAATAATGAGAAGAAATGGATAATTTTTTTCAGTCCCCAAGGGACTGAATTAATAATTGATAAACTAAAACAGATTGATAATTTATCTAGTCAATTTTATATTGGTTCAATTGGTCCAACAACTGAAGACTATTTGGTTAGCAAAGGGATAACTCCTAATATTGTCTCAAAGAAGCCTGAGGCAGCATCGTTATTTGAACTGATGCAAAATCATGAAGCGACTTACAAGTGAGAGGAAAATATTACTGATTTCTTGAATATTGAATGAATTGGTTCAGAACTTAATTAACTCATGCATTGGCGAATAGAAGAAAATAAACATTGCATCTGTATACGAAGTTTAATGTAAGGTTAGGCGAAAGTCTATATATATCACACATGGCCAAGATAGATACTCAAGGAATCTACAAATGATTGATTGATAAAAATCGATTTCTGATAACATATAAATAGTATAAAAACAAGCTTCTTTAATAACTTAAATATGGGACATGTCTCTTATGAGAGTCTAAAGTCTGGTACTTACTAACGAGTAGCCTTGACTACATCAATGATTTGTGCAACAACACCAGGGTTCGATAATGTCGAAATATCACCCAATTGATCTTCTTCGGCAGCCAAAACCTTTCTCAAAATTCTTCTCATGATCTTACCTGATCTAGTCTTAGGTAAATCATCTACCAACAAAATTGTCTTTGGAGTTGCAAAAGGACCAATTTCCTTACGAACAGTTAAGATCAATTCTTTCTTGATCACTTCTAGGTCCTCAGACACGTTAGATTTCAATGAAACGTAAGCGGCAACTGCTTGACCTGTCAATTCGTCCGCGTATCCTACAACTGCACATTCAGCAACAGATTCATGTAAGATCAACGCAGCTTCAATTTCCGCCGTAGACAATCTGTGACCGGAGACATTAACAACATCGTCAACTCTACCTAAAATCCAGTAGAATCCGTCAACGTCTCTTGCAGCCCCATCACCTGAGAAATAATGATTTGGATATGGCTTCAAGTAAGTCTCAATAAATCTAGCATAGTCATTATAAATACCTCTACTAATTGATGGCCAACACGATTTTACACAAAGGACCCCTTCGACATCATTTTCCTTCAATTCCTTACCAGTAACTGGGTCCAAGATCTTCGCATCAATACCAAAACATGGTAACGAGGCAGATCCTGGTTTAGTTGGAGTAATACCGGCTAATGGCGCTAACATGTGCGAACCAGATTCTGTTTGCCAGTAAGTATCAACAATGTGGCACTTGCGTCTACCAATGTTGTCGTTATACCAGTGCCAGATTTCGGCTGCAATTGGTTCACCAACCGTACCTAAAACTCTCAAGGAATCTAGCTTGTAGTTTTCTATATACTTGGTGCCGGCTCTCTTTAATAATCTCAAAGCAGTTGGAGCAACGTAGAATTGAGTGACCTGATACTTGTCAACAATTTCCCAGTATCTCGAATAGTTAGGGTGGGCTGGGGTACCTTCAAACACCACGGTGGTGGCCCCACATAATAACGGACCGTATACCACATAGGTGTGTCCCGTAATCCACCCCACATCTCCTGCGGTGAAGAACACATCGTCTTCGTGCACGTCAAACGTGTATTTGGACGTCATGGCAGCACCCAATAAGTACCCGGCAGTTGTGTGCTGGATACCCTTTGGCTTACCTGTCGAACCAGAGGTGTACAATAAGAATAATGGGTCTTCCGAGTTGACTGGTACCGGTGGGAAGTATGGTCCGTACTTGGCCATTTCCTCGTGCCACCACAAGTCCCTGCCTTCGGTGAACGGAATGTGGGTGTTGCCAGTTCTCTTGAAAAGTAAGACGTTTGTCACGTCAGGACAGTTCTTCAACGCATCATCCACAATCTTCTTGGTTTCAATGGTCTTTCCACCTCTCTTCGACTCATCAGTGGTGATAACAATCTTCGAGTTGGCGTCCAAGATACGGTCCTTCAACGAGCTTGATGAAAACCCGGCGAATACAACCGAATGGACGGCCCCAATTCTCACAATCGCTAACAAAGTCACCAACGCCTCAGGGATCATTGGCAAGTATACTGCAACGGAGTCCCCCTTTCTGATGCCTAATTTCGTCAAGCATTGTGCCAACTTACACACGTCCTTCAACAACTCGCCGTATGTGATAGTACGACCTTCGTTTTCCTCGTCGGCCTCGTAGATAATCGCTGGCTTGTTAGGATTCTTGATGGCCCATCTGTCAACTGCGTTATACGAAGCATTCAATTGCCCGTTCACAAACCACGACGCAATGTCCCCGTCTGCAAAGTCCTGCTCGCTACTCACGGGGTACCTGGCATAGTCAAAAGGGCGGTCCCAGCTCAAGTGCTCCAACGCTTGTTCGCCAAAAAATTTGCTGGGGTTCTCAATCGACTCCTTGTACATCTTGCTATAGGTCTCAAAGTCTGCCAAGTTGGGTTTAGACTTCGACCTCTCCTTAAATTCCACTGGGGGTTGGATAATACCCTCATGGTCCAACGTTACGTGTGTAGAGTGTGGTGTCATTGTATAGGTATATGTTTTATATCTAATGCCTATATATCTGCTACTATCCTTATCAACGCTTTTCCCGGCGCTTACTTACTTTATATACTATTGGTTCTCGGACTTACACTCCCCTCCTTCCCCACAGGTGTGGGTCCCAAAGACCAACTTTTTCGTATCTCTCAAAACTCCTTGACCCACAAATTATCAAATCTGGGGAACATGGTAATAGCTTTTTTTTACACATTTCCCAATAGGTAGCATCAGTGGTACTAAACTCCATAGTCAAGAAAAATATGCCGGCAGGAGGGCAACCGTGAGTTTACGAGCCGGTCGATTAATGACTACAGCTATTGTTATAACATGCATCATGTGATCATACCTCCTATTGATAGGTGGGCCGAAGCAACGGTGAACAATAGTGGTGGTGTAGATGTCTATAAACAGCAGTGGTAGTGTAGATAAAGGAAACGAGCGAGTTGCGCACGTAGATAGTGCGAGTGAGCGAAGTGAGAGTGAGCGCAGTAAGCAGAGTGAGCAGAGCAAGCAGAGTGAGAGTAGATATACAATAAATGAGTGGGCTTGCGTTGAAATTCACGTCGTTGTTGATCAGGACGGTGGCCAAGCCAATATCGAACTCGATCAAGGCCCAGGCAAAGGAACACGAGAACTTCCGCCGCAAGTGTATATGGTTTGCCCAGATGATGCACCATGCTGATTTGAAGATGAGAATGAATCTAGTGGGGGAAAAGAAGATCAAGATTCGCCCGTTGAACGACAACAAGGCCATCGAGAAGGGGGCCAATTTTTTGAGTGAAATGTTTGTGTTTTCGGTGGCGGGGTCGTTGATTCTCTTTGAGTCGTTCCGGAGCAGAAAGAAGACGAATCTCGAGAAGTCCAACGTCCAGGACGACATTACGTTTCTCCAAGACGAGATCGTGGCCCTTCAGCATGAATTGGAAGAAATGAAGACAAAGCTTGTCGAACGACCAGCCAACGGGGCCACCAACACACCCGCGGATGCGTCTGCTAAGTAGCACTTGTACATAGAAATAGAAAACATTGGCATACGCAATTGGACGTGAACGGGGCCCATATTGGGTTTCTACTGGGTTCCCATTAGGGTATTGGTGTAGAATAACTCCGTTTTCGTTCTTGGTATGGGGTCGCCCCACTTACGAGGTCGCCTATGCATTGGTATCGGTGCTAACACCCCTACAGTGCAGTACTTACGATACAATATATTAATAGTATACAAATATTGATTGAGGTGTCCTTCTGGCGAAGAAAACTCAAAGTAATATAATACAAAAACTAACGAAATAAAAAGCACCCTGCGAATGCGGGCCCGTTTGGTGGCAACTTCACATTTATTTTTGCTTCTTCTTTTCAACCTTCAATAACAAGGCTTTGTTGATATGTGGCAATACACCCCCGAACGCAATGGTGGCCTTGATCAAGTTATCTAATTCTTCATCTCCTCTGATGGCCAATTGCAAGTGTCTTGGGGTAATTCTCTTTACCTTCAAGTCCTTGGCCGCGTTACCGGCCAATTCCAACACTTCGGCTGTCAAATATTCCAACACGGCCGTTAAGTAGATGGCGGATTTGGATCCAACTCTGATTTTGTTTTGCGCAGTTCTCTTCAAATATCTCTTAATTCTACCCACTGGGAATTGCAATCCTGCTCTAGCAGAGTGCGACGTGGTTGACTTGGCTGTTTCGGACGATTTACCTTTACCGCCGTGAACTTTCCCTTTACCTGACATGTTTGCTTGACTTTAACTGTTACTTCTGTAGACGAAAAACGATAAATTGCCTTGAGAAACAACAAAACAAACAAAATAAACAAAATAAACAATTGTCGCGATTCAAAATTGACCTGTAACACAAAACATCAACCAAGTGTTACCCGGACTCGATATCATGCTCTATCAACTATGAATGTTATTATGTGGTCCTAACTTCCTTAATAATGCCTCGATTTCGAACCGTGATTTCTGCATTTCGGTGTTGATCGAGTCGTAGTTCTGGAACCCCTTTAATAATTTGATGAGTACGATTATATCGTCCTCCTCGCCCTTCTCCAACTCGTCAACGTTGTCTTGCACGTCTTCGTCGTTTGATACGTCTGAATTAAACGAATCAGTGTCGGAAGACTGGGGGTCATTATCACTATCGTTAGCATCTTCCAGTTGGTACACGGATTTGTGAACATCGTAGTTAAAACTGACTCTTCTTTTGGACTTGGCATTGCTGGTTTTCAAATTAGTCTCATGTACTATGCTCTTCAATAACGATTTGTTTGCTAGTGATTCGTTGACAGGGTAGACGTTCGGGTTTGTCTTTGCCTTGAAAAGGTCGATTATTTTGTCTAGTTCGTTGTCGTTTTTGTTCTCAAGCGATTTTGTAAGCGAGTTTAAAATGGGATACGAATGGACTCTGTAGAGGATGCCTCTGATTACTCCAAAATTAATAAATCTTCTTACGTCTATATTGTTGAGGTATTTTCGATGCTGCATATACCACTCCTTCACCGTTTGACCTTGGTTCAACGATCTATAGAGATAAAATAGACTGGCTTTTGATGGTATGACGGTGGTCTCGCCGCTAAATTTCTTCTTTGATGCTTTGAATATCGATGAATGTTTGCTTGTGGGTGATGCTGAATTGGGAAATGTAGACGATTGTATATCCAGATCTTCATTTACCGGTAATTCATTCAATAAATTGGGTTCGTTGGTGATTATATATGCTTGGCATTCTTCTGCAATATTATTCAATGTCAAAAAATTTCCAATGTGATTTGTTGGAGCATAAATATTGCTGAACTGAAAGATATCAATCATGTTTATGCATTTATAGTGCATCAAATGTTGGATGCACTGTTTGGTGAGAATATAGTCCGCATCAGCAAGCTGACTTATCCTTTTTATAGAGTTGATCCCGTCAATATATGGTAAGATTTTAAGCATTGTTGGGTCCCAGTTTATATCCACTAGCAGACTTAGCTTAACAGTTAGAATTGGTACTTGGTACGCCTTGGTGTTAACCGGGGGTGGTAAAATAGGAAACAACTTGATATCCACCGAGTTGGCGCTATCCAACGGTATACAACACTCGGAATAATTGTTCAAGTCCTGGTAAATCTGATGTATTAATGACTCAATCGACGACAAGTTAACCTTCTGTGTCCTTCTAAATCCTGGCGTGATAAATTCATTAATCATTAGCAGATTCTCGGTTGGATATTCATCTTTATTCTTAAAAAATGACCCAAATTTGTCCAATTTCGACAATATGAAACTCTGCTCTTCTAAAACTTGGAACATCTTTCCCATCCGCTTGATGGCAGATTCGTAAGGAGTAGTATCGCTGTTATAGGGAAACACAAAACAGAAATTGAAATTGAATGAGTTTCTGGAATACTTCTCGTTTTCGATATTCACCGGATACCCTAATACCTTGAACCGGTCAATCTTTATAGAAATCAACTTGTTGCACAACTTAGGCTTCGGTATAATATAATTTTTAATCGTGTCGAAGTTAAAGATAATGCCATTTGAATCACTTGTACTGGAGTTCCCAATTGAACCCTCAGGCACTTGATTCAACACTTTTGTACCCTCTGTGGGGTGGAACACCGCGTAGAAGATAGCTGTAATCGGCACGAATCCATCGCTTTCCATACTAGCCTGTCAACTCTTATTATAACTGTCAACTTCTACTCTCAGTCATAGAAGCCTACTGATAATACATATTTTGATACTGTCGTACAAAGTCAATATGTAACATCCTTACCTCAGTCTTTCAAAGATCCTTACACCTGTATCTCTAATTAAAAGATTGCTAAGTGTTTTGGCACCTTTCTATTTGCATCCTTACGTCCTATATTCGGCCGATTTGACGTCAATTATTCGGCCGAATATTACAGCAGCCGTTCCTTTTTGACCAAAATTTCGGAGCGGATGCACATATGTTGTACGCCCGTCCGAAAATCGGTGTTAATTTTGCCGATGTAAACAATTCGTACGGCTTTACATCCTAGATGTTTTTGCTTCACAGCCTTCTATTACGCCTAACTATAATCCATATTCATAGTTCTAGTGATCTTGTCTTCACCTCTAGAAAATCAACATGACAAGAACGAATACATGATCAATATGTGGGGAATTGTATCACAAAGAGTATTGGAGTAGTCCATTGCGAACAACGATTGCTACAATGCGAGATTCCCACTCATCGCTGAGGATGCAAATACACTCTTTGGAAATTGATGTGATATAGAAGTGACTGATTATGAAAATGTTATAAAGGTCGGCGCAGAAGAAAAAGTTTTTCCCGATTAAAGTAAATAGTTAGTAATCGAAAATTCGTATTTTCAATTTTTGACATTTCCTATTTAGAATTTCTCAACAGAAATTTATTTAAATAAACCGCATCCAGTCTTTAAATGCAATTTTAATTTAGTCCAGGTATTAGTTCCATATTCTGCAGGTACATATATATAGTATGTCAGTTCCAACAGAAAATATCAATAAGGAGGTAAGTAATGCTTTAGAGAGCTCTTCTTCGTCGTTCGTCACACCTGTGGACAGAGACGGTGTTTCTGAAGGTTTAGCACAGGAGGAGCCAGAACCATTCACAGGGGATTTAGAGAATGGTAAAGAGGATTGTGTTCCACAAGGCGGAGATGAATTGAGTCGTTATGAATCTAGTGTGGAAGCATCGAGAACATTAAGTCAACGGTTGACAGGATCAGAAAGTTTGATGAGCAAAGCCAATGAGACTGATGAACCGATGCCTCCTATGGGTGGAGGTAAAGAATATCCACCACCGTTAGGCTCGAGAGAGCCATACATGGTTGAATATAATGGTCCGGATGATCCTATACATCCGCATAATTGGCCGTCAGTCAAAAAGGTATATTCCTGTGTGGTTGTAGGGCTTACCGCTCTTTCGGTTTCTCTTGGTTCAGCTATGTTTTCCGCAGCTAATCCTATCATCATGGAAACTTACCATGTTGGGACAAGTGTTGCGGCATTGGGGGTGTCGTTGTTCGTGTTGGGTTTTGCTGCCGGTCCTGTTGTGTGGGGTCCTTTGTCTGAACTTTATGGTAGAAAGGTTGTGATGGTACCTTCGTGTCTTGGCTACGTCTGCTTTTCATTTGCAGTTGCTACGGCAAAGGATATTCAAACCATCATGATTTGTAGATTCTTTGCTGGTCTTATTGGTGCTGCTCCATTAGTCGTTGTTCCAGCTTCTATCGCTGATATGTATGGAGCCGCGAAGAGAGGGCAAGCTATGGCCATTTTTGCCATGGTTTTATTTGGTGGTCCAATGTTAGCACCAATTTTTGGTGGTTTCATTATTAAGAATCCACGCTTAGGCTGGAGATGGACCTCATATTTCAGTGGTATAGTCGGAGTTATTGCATTGATAGGGGTTGTTTTCTTTTATGAAGAAACTCACCACCCGATAATTTTGGTCAAGAAGGCTGAAGTTTTAAGAAGAAGAACCGGAAACTGGGGTATTCAAGCACCTCATGATGAGGTTTCTTTATCCGTGAAAGAAATTTGTGAAAACACCATATCCAGACCATTAGTCATGTTGCTCAAAGAACCTATCTTATTATTGATCACTATCTACAATGCATTTATTTACGGTTTGTTATATTTGTTTTTAACTGCCGTTCCTTTGATTTTCGCCGGTAATTATCATTTCTCCCTGGGTGTCAGTGAATTACCTTATCTTTCTATGTTGATAGGTATCGTTATAGGAGGATTTGTTTGCGTCTTCTTCGATGGTAGATATACAAGAATTATGAATGAAAATAATGGTAAACCAGTTCCTGAAGAAAGATTACCAGCTATGATGATAGGTTCTTTCGCATTCGCTGGCGGTTTGTTCTGGTTAGGTTGGGCTGGTGATTATCCCGATAAAGTCCACTGGATCGTTCCAACTATTGGTGCTGCGCCAATCGGCTTTGGTTTGATTGTCATTTTCTTACCCTCTATCAACTACATCATTGAGTGTTACTTAGTCCTTGCCGCTTCTGCATTAGCTGGTAATGCCTTCTTGAGATCCGCCTTTGCTGCAGCTTTCCCACTTTTTGCTAAGCAAATGTTTGTCAATATGGAAATCAAATGGGCCAGTACATTGTTAGGTTGCCTCGCTGCTGTAATGATTCCAGTCCCATTTATGTTCTACATATATGGCGCTCGTATTAGACATAAGTCTAAGTACGCATTTGTCTTATAATCGGTTTATGTTCATTTGAAATCACGTACGCTTACAACCTATATTATAATTACATACTTAAAAACTTACACTCTTCATAGAGTTTCTTAATACCTAATTAAATATTAATCTCATAAATAATGCTATAAAATGCTTTTACTGACCCATTAATGTAGTTGAAAATTGCAGCCTAATCTCGGATTTGTAACCCGCACGATCTCCCCGGCAAAAAGAATTTTCTGGAAGAATTCAGAACTCATGAACATAAATTGAAAAATTATAAATTCAATCAACTGTAATCTATCTAAAAGTAAAGTTGATAACCAAATAAACTAAACAATATGTTGAGATCTGTTCGTCCTTCTTTAAAGAAAACCACTATTTCTCTTGCTCGTAACCTTTCTCATAAGGAATTAAAATTCGGTGTTGAAGGTAGAGCGGCGTTATTAAAGGGTGTTAACACATTGGCGGATGCTGTATCTGTTACCTTAGGACCAAAAGGTAGAAATGTTTTGATTGAACAGCAATTTGGATCTCCAAAGATCACTAAGGATGGTGTTACCGTTGCTAAGTCGATCACTTTGCAAGACAAATTTGAAGATATGGGTGCCAAGTTATTACAAGAAGTTGCTTCCAAGACAAACGAATCAGCTGGTGATGGTACTACTTCAGCCACTGTTTTAGGAAGATCCATCTTCACCGAATCGGTTAAGAATGTTGCTGCTGGTTGTAACCCAATGGACTTAAGAAGAGGTTCGCAAGCTGCTGTTGAAGCAGTAGTTAGCTTTTTACAAAACAACAAGAAGGAAATTACCACTTCCGAAGAAATTGCCCAAGTTGCCACTATCTCTGCTAATGGTGACAAGCACATTGGTGATTTATTGGCCTCTGCTATGGAAAAGGTTGGTAAGGAAGGTGTGATTACTGTCAAGGAAGGTAAGACCTTAGAAGATGAATTGGAAGTTACCGAGGGTATGAGATTCGACCGTGGTTTCATTTCTCCTTACTTCATTACCAACACCAAATCTGGTAAGGTTGAATTTGAAAATCCTTTGATTTTGTTATCCGAAAAGAAGATTTCTTCCATTCAAGATATCTTGCCTTCTTTGGAATTATCTAACCAACAAAGAAGACCTTTATTGATCATCGCCGAAGATATTGATGGTGAAGCTTTAGCCGCTTGTATCTTAAATAAGTTGAGAGGTCAAGTCCAAGTCTGTGCTGTTAAGGCCCCAGGTTTCGGTGATAACAGAAAGAACACTTTAGGTGATATTGCTATTTTATCCGGTGGTACTGTCTTCACTGAAGAATTAGACTTGAAGCCTGAAAATGCTACCGTTGACTTATTAGGCTCTTGTGGTTCTATCACCATTACCAAGGAAGACACTGTTGTCTTAAACGGTGAAGGTTCAAAGGAAAACATCCAAGCTAGATGTGAACAAATTAGAACTAGCGTCAATGACATTCAAACTACTGAATATGAAAAGGAAAAGTTACAAGAAAGATTAGCTAAATTATCCGGAGGTGTTGCAGTCGTTAGAGTTGGTGGTACTTCTGAAATCGAAGTCAGTGAAAAGAAGGATCGTTATGACGATGCTTTGAATGCTACTAGAGCTGCTGTTCAAGAAGGTATTTTACCAGGTGGTGGTACTGCTTTAATTAAGGCTTCAAGAGTATTAGACGACATTAAGGCCACTGCTGCCAACTTTGATCAAAAATTAGGTGTTGATATCATTAAGTCTGCTATCACTAAACCAGCCAGAAGAATTATCGAAAACGCTGGTGAAGAAGGTGCTGTCATTGTTGGTAAGATCTACGATGAACCAAACTTCAACCACGGTTATGATTCTTCAAATGGTGAGTTCACCGACATGATTGCCGCTGGTATTATTGACCCATTCAAGGTCGTTAAGAACGGTTTAGTCGATGCCAGTGGTGTTGCTTCCTTATTAGCTACTACTGAATGTGCAATTGTCGAAGCTCCAGAACCAAAGGGCTCTCCTGCTCCTCCAGCTGGTGGTATGCCAGGTATGGGTGGTATGCCAGGTATGGGTTTCTAATCTAATTTCGCCCACATATCCTTCCAAACATTGTGATATTATGATGTATAGTACTCTATAAGCAGAAAATGTATTGTAAATAGTTTATTATAGAGTGATTATAATTAAATAAATGTTTTATTATGACTATCGTTTTTGCGCATCTCATATTTTAAATTCTATGCTAAAAGATAAGCTCAAATTTAATTTTATCTCTTTTATACGGAGTCCTTACGTGAAGATGATATAATACTGAAAATGTTCGAAGACTTTCTATCTGATCCAAAATATTCAAATTCCAAAAAGAAGCATAAACAGCTTCAAAGGCTATTACTTAAATACATTGAAGTACAGAAATTTCAGGAAATCAAAAGTAATGAAGATTTACCATTGCAGCAGAGGCAAAAGTTAAATAAGGCTAGAACTAAAAAGAAAATACTCAAGAAAATACATGAAGAACTTAATGAAAGGTTAAGACCTGAGGAAACTTTCGAAATATGGCATCTCTATAAAAATTTGAATTTGGATAGACAAAAATCAGGCAAGAAGCATAACGCTAATGGCCAGGGAAACATGACAGAGAAGTTAATGGATGACTTGATTAACTCTAATGAAAATGACGAGATTGAAAGTGAGGAGTCAGATAATGAACAAACAGTGGATAACCAACTAGATAGGTTTTTAAATTCATTTGACCTGTCGAGCACATGGACTAAAGCGAATTTTTTGATAAAAACAAAAGGACTTGAAGTACTTCCACATGACTCATTAGAAACTGACTCGTCTAGTGTGGTAAGAAATGGCAATGTTGGTTTAAGGAATCATCATATAAACAACCTTAAAACTCTATTGCACGTAAATATTCTTAGGCGTAATTGGGGATTAGCATATAAAATTTTTTGTTTACTTATTAGATTGCCAAAAGTTGATATTCGGTCATTGTGGCCATTGGGAATTGAGATTCTAAATAGACAAAGAGAAGAGACCGCTTATGATGACAAAGATATTAAGTTATTTAAAGACGAAAAATTTTTTGATTGGTTGTCGTCATTTTTCATAATTAACAAACATAGTAACACGTTCAATTTGAGTAACACAAGGAAAATTTCAGCCCCTATCTGGAGATCTGGGTCTAGGACCCATACACCGATGTACGTGATAACTTCGTTATGGGGACTAATGATCAAAAATAAATACACAAGATTGAGAGACAGGCTTGACGAATTATTACTAGAACCCCCATACAATACGGATGGGGTATTTTATTTCCTAATGGCACTATGCAAACTTTTAGAGAACTTTAAACTAGCGAATAAGTTTTCTGGTTTTGGGAACGAAGCACCAATAGATGAAAGTGGAAATGAAGATGATGATGAAATGAATGATCTCTTTTTCACTTCCAAAAATGATATACATAAAAAGATCCTTGACAATCAAAAGGTGATCGAGAGAAATTTGGAAAAATGTATAGAGTTTAATTTCGAGTTCCCTAAATCCCTAATAAATAATGAAATTAACGGGATTATGAAACAAATAAACGAAGACCATAACGACTTCAACGCATCGTTATCATCCAGTTCTGAAAGAGATTTTGGTAATGAGAACGACATTCACATGAGGAATATTTCAAGTACACCTCTAGATGTGGAGCCGATCTTTGGAGATATTGATGCCAAGGTTAAAAGTCGTCAGAACAGTATTGATTCATATGAAAATAAACTGAGTTTTGAAAACGCTGAAAATAATGAAATGAAAAATAATTTGGAAGAAAACAATCAAAGTATGAATTTCGATTTCGATTTCGATTAAAAGTCTTAAAAAGCAATATATTCATAATTTTTATAACATACATAACTATTATAACATACATAACTATTAATAGTTGCATCTATTTCAACTTTAAGACTAACTAGAATCATTAGTGTAGTTAGTATTTCTGGTGTCATTAATACGTATTTCATCATGGCTGGAAGAGGATAAATTTGGCTCAATTATACTCAACTCATTACCAGGTGGTTTCTGTTTTATGGTGAGCGTTCCTTGATTAAATGACGAAAAATCGATTTTATATTTGTCATTTGTTGATTTATGTAAAGGAAGAATTGTCCAATCTTGAGGAATTATAGCTGTCGTTGGGAGTCTTATCGTTTGAAATACTTCGGATGGTTCTGTTGTTCTTGTAGGAGGTGGAGTAATTGTAGGCTCCGGATACTCTGCGGGAATATTAAGCTGATTTAAAATATTTTGATTTCGCTGTGTTTGGTCGACAACATTTATTCTTGTATCCTCTTGGTTGATTCGCGTAGGTTGTGCTTGTTGAGTTTCTGGGGGTACTTGTAATTGTGCTTCTGGCTGTGCTTCTGGCTGTGCTTCTTGTTGTGCTTCTGGTTGTGCTTCTGGTTGTGCTTGTGCTTCTGGCTGTGGATGCGCTTGTGTCTGTGCATGCTCTTGTAAATCATTTTCTTCAGCTTGGAACACCTTTCTTCTACATAATGGGCAAATTTCCGACCTCTCAAGCCAATCCTTCAAGCAACCCATATGAAGAATATGACCACATTTCAATTTTTTGGGGTATCTCCTAGAAGATAATTTTTTATGGTGAGCTCTTTCATATTCATCTAATGCGAACATATCTTCCCTGCAAATAATGCATAAGTTGTCAGACGATTCTAATTCGTCCTTTGTCGCATTAGGTAATTGGCTATCTAACTTTTTAGAAGATTCAATGAAAGCGAATAATTGTGATATCTCTTTGTAAGTTTGCTTCAAAGACAAGTATGTTCCCTGAAGCATAGAAATTGGCAAGGACAACCCCGAATGAATCGTTAGTAAGTAAATAAATCCTAAATATGAAATTGCCTTCAAGGACGCAGAACATATGTCAATGCTTTTGCTAAAGAAAGCTTTATTATCCCAAACTCTTTCATTATCCTCCTCCTCTTCTTCTTCATCTAATTCTTCCTCGTTTTCTTCATCTGTATCCAAATCATCCTGTTGGTTGCGATAAAATGCAAGTTCATAAATATTTAATAGTAATTTCGAATAATACGTTAATGCTTCTACCCCTTGAACAGCAAACTGAAACCCAAACAATAAGCATGTAACAGAGTTAATTCCCTGAAAAACGTCATAAACTAAGAATTTAGCAACTGCAAAATCACTTATAATAAACGATAAAATTAACCAAAAATACAAACTTGTCAGATATTTTTGTAAAACTTTGGAAGTCGTATACCTTTCATTTGAAGAATTATTAAAAATCTTCATATGAACGTAGTCTAACCGATCTATAAGAATGACATGAAAGATCTTGAAACTGACTGCTATGCCCAATAGTAAGCAATTTAAGATTAGATTGTTATCATTAGTTGTTAAATTAAATAACAAGTTGATGAAGTATATTGGCAATTTTTCAACAAGATGTTCAACCTCTATAATTCTTAAATGTCCAAATAACAATATTTGTATTAATTTGCCACTTAAGACAAATGATAGAAATAAAAAGTTAAGCAATATTCCTAACTTATAACCATCCGTAAATTCAATCAAAAATGTGAAAGCATTTGGAGATATCTCAAGGGAGCTATAAGCTGACCAGCTTATTAATGCTATTGATACTGATATATATCCAATAAAGTATTGATGGCTCTTATCGATTATCATTGTTGATTGAATCAACATAAACAGTTTGTATGGGGTCTATGATTTTGTAAACCTCAATGCTGTTCAAAATTGTGACATTAAATTATTCGCAGCAGATATTAATCTATATTAAAATTACATTATACAATTACTTATTAAGAGTAGTATTTACGTCATGAATAATTCTTCTTCTTTTGAAAGCAGCCGCCGATATATTTTCTTTATCTGAAGTTGACCTACTAAGTTGTGGGATTTTAGTTCTTTGTAAGTCAGTATTAACGCTTAATGCAATCGAAGATGATTGTCTTTTCAAAGGGGATTTCTTGGAGGGGGATGATTTTGCACTTGGTAACCGTTTCGAAGGAGAGGACGAAGGTTCTTTCGTCGGTGAATTTAGTTGCTTAAAAGGTGATGGTTTTGTATGTTTAATAGGCGATTTATTGGGTGATCGCACTGGCGATTTCACAATAACATTAGCTTCATTTGACGTTATGTCATACTGAAGGTTATTCAAATTCTGATTAATGTTATTTAATGATTCACATACTTTGTCATCTTTTTTTATTATCAAATCACTTATAGATTTTAATTTGGGCATATCATCCAGTAAATTGTTTCTGTCGATTATCTGGTTAATTTTAGCTAAGTTTGGATTGATAGTATTTGTAATTAATGATGAGATATTATCGGTCGTAGTAGATAACTTGTGGGAATTTTCGTCATTAAAATCGTGGTATTGTTTTCTAAATGAAGCAGCGTCCTTATCAATCGAGTTATAAAACTTCTCTGATTCATGAAACCAATTAGATTGCCTTTCCAATAAGGTATTTCTCTCCAAATTTATGAATTTAGATGAAACTTCGTTGATTGAATCTTTAAATAGACTTTCATGCTTAAGGTGTGAATCATCTAGCAATTTAGAAAATTTATTCAACATGTTTGATTTGATCGACGACAATCGTTCGTTAACTCGTTCGGAGACAATCTGATTAATGACATTGTTTAAAGCTTGTGAGTCCAAATGCTCCTCTGTTATGTATCCCGAAAACTTATCATTGGCAATTTTCAAGTCTGACATACTTGTCTTTATTTTCGATTCATTATCCGAGACGATACCATTAAAATCATGAAAATTAGAATTTATATCACTCATCATTTTAGGAATCTTATCTAGAGACTGGCTTAATTCAGTATTTGTTGAAGATATTGTTTCCGATAGGCTATTTTTACAGGTCTGCAAGTTATTTTGAATGCTCTTAATACTTGCGTTTAGGCTATTATTTTGACTCTCTTTGGAATTATTCAAATCAGTAACGACCTTTTCGATTTGGGATATTGAATCATTCAAATTATTGTTAATCAATTGGGTCAACTGTATTTTCGATGACTTGTAATTTTCATTTAACTTGAATAATTTATCATTCAACGTGCTTATCATCGTATCATTGTCAGATATCTGCTTTTTATGGTTAGTCTCAATGTTTTCCAAGTTCTTGATTTTTAACTGGTACTCATTGATTTTACTTTTATAATTCTTGTTATTCAATTCAGTAGTTTTTTTCAAATTAGATAATTGACTAATTTTCATGTTTAACCCGTTAATTATTGAAGTAGATTCCTTTAGTTCAGCCTTAATTAAATCATTATTTTCAATTAATGTATTGTAATTATTTTCATCCATCCATATACCATTCTTATTCCTTGTAGCAATCAAATCATTATTTAGTTTCGTGATTTCTTTTGACATATCTTTTAATAAGATTTTCTTTAGCATTAAATCACAATCTTGTCCCAACTGCGGTTTATTTTGGATGTTTTTGGCTCGAGAAGCATATTCCAATGTAGAAATCGTTTCTTCTAAGTTAATTTTAGCTGGTGATATAGTTGCAATTAAAGCAGTTTTTGTTTGACCTCCAATAGAGTCCTGAAGAAGCCTTGTCAACTTAGATTCTCTATAAGGAATATGTGACGTATTAGAAGCCGATAAGCTCCTGTCACTTAACGAATTGATCACTCTGCCTAAAGTCAATAAACTTTGGTTAATAAGGCCTGCTTCTTTAGCCCGCTGATTGACAGCACCCGATCTATTGATATTTTCAGATCCAGCCAAATCAACTAAATTCATTTTAGATACCTTGAAAAATTCATTACCCTGTTTTTTATATAAATTAACCGTAAATATCGTATGAGATCTGGAAGATACATCGTTTAGTTTAGTGCTAGCTGTTTTCCGCTTAATTAGACCCTTTCGTAATATGTTTAAACCGTCAATAGCACTATTAATATAGGTTTCTTGCAAATTCTGAATGATTAACGTGTCACTATTTGGCTTCTTTGATTCAAACATTCTCAATCTATTTCTATCGGTATCATCATTCAACAAGTCTTTCAAATCTTCGTTATATAACTCAATAAAGGAACACTTCACCACGTAATCATTTGCACCAGAATCGCTCTCCAACGATTTGAAAAGTTCGTTTAAGGTCCGAGGAATTATACCCGCCATTTCATTGAGCAGAGGGTTGTAAGACTCCAATTTATCTACTGCATCTTCTGTATTACAATTACCACACATTGTATATGTCTTTCCCGTACCCGTCTGTCCATACGCTAGTATCGTTACATTGAACCCGTTGATGAAGTCATTGAATAGCGGCATCGCCACTTTGTCAAATAATAACAGCTGGTCAGCTTGAGACCCATATACTTGATCAACAGAGTATGTTTTGGAATTCATGGAATTAATAAACGTGGAAAATTGCTGGTCCTGGTTCACGGTTATCGTGGGATTGGAAATCGAGTATGTATCATTAGGTAGGTCAACAATAAGAGGAGATTTCGCCGTAACCTCTCGAGAATTCCTACCCCGGCACCGTACTACCACTTGAATATTAGACGACATGTTGAACTGTAGTACAATTTAGATGCTGTTCCAGTCTACTGTGAAGCCTGTTGTTTTTTAGTGATTGTTAATCTTTGTTTACAAAATATCTGATTTCCCGATTTGCTTATATGCAGTGTCGATACTCTGGGGCCTAACGATGCTACTTACTGCCGCTATACACCTATACTAATCAAAGAAGTCGTCGTCATCGTCCGAGTCGATGTTTGTGGTCCTTCTGTCGAACACAATCTTGCTCTGTGTCTGTTTCTTCTCATCTCGTGATATACCGTCGAGAATTTCCACGATATCATTTTCAGATAATTTCCGAGTGATGCTCCCTGTAGCGGCCAATTTGATAATGTACTGCTCGACTGCATCGGCCCTATCTGGGCGAACTATCCTAACTCTGCTCAATCTTTCTCTGGCGCTTGTTTCTAGTATTTGCGATAACATCGAAAGTTTCATGTCATCCTTTTTATCACCTCCTTGGTCAGCCGGGGCTTGACCCGAATTTTTTTGCAATTCGGACAATCTGGCCGATCTTATAGCATTAAGCTCTGCATCATCCATTTTCACCTATAGTATATGATCTGTGTCGAGTAATGTTGTTGTAGGTGTTCTAAGCGCCCTGAGAGAAATAACTGATGAGTTAGTTCTCAAGGTCGTGTTACGTAATCAATATCAAAAGTCCACTTGAAATCAATTGCTCAAGTGAATCAAGCAATTAACAACAGACTATAACTAACAACTAACAGTCACCGATGGACAAATCGAACATTCTAAGAAAGTACAAGATTGTATTTTTGGGAGATCAAAGTGGTATGTATAAAAAAAAGGGGAGAAGAAATTATAAGAAGTGAGGGGATTCAAATTACGTCAAACGATAGAATATTAACGTCGATAGTTGGTAAAACATCGTTGATAACCAGATTCATGTATGACACATTTGACGATCAATATGCAGCTACGATAGGTATAGACTTTTTGCTGAAGACTATGTATTTGGAGGACAATAAGACGATTCGGTTACAGTTATGGGATACTGCTGGGCAAGAGAGATTCAGATCGTTGATACCATCATACATTAGAGACTCGCATGTGGCGGTAATATGTTATGACATAACCAATAAGAAATCGTTTGAGAACTTAAATAAGTGGATTCAGGACGTGAAGTTGGAACGTGGAGATGACGTGATAATAGTTGTTGTAGGCAACAAGTCGGACCTTAATAATAAAAGACAAGTTACGATGGAGGAATGCGAGGCGTATCTCAAGTCGATAAATGGGAAATTTTGCATTGAGACGTCCACCAAGGCCAACCACAATGTCAAACAATTGTTTAAAAAAATTGCATCTAGCTTACCGGACGTCGAAACGTCCACAAAGGACGAAACCACGCAGCCCGAAACCGTGGACATCAACATCGAACACCCAAAAGTCGAAAGCAACAGCTGTTGTTGAACGTCTACTGTTTGACTGGCTGTGGTGGTCTAACTGTATATAATGCTAATGAGGTTTTACCATCGGGCCTATATAGTATATTTACTTCGATATTCATCAGAATAGTATAGCATAATCCTGTTAGTTTTTCGTATCAATTTCTTCCATGATAAGTTTTTCTCTGAATGTGACTATTGTTCTACTCAAATTGGAGTGATAGTCGCCGAAGACCCTGATATAACATTAATCTTGTCAACACTCAAAGTAGCATTGAAAGTATCAGCGTGTATCAATTAACCTAAATAACCACAGCGGCAATCAGACTGCGTATAAGTAAAGTAGTAGTACATACCATTACATGATATACAAAAGCCGTTTCTTGTGACGTCCGATTTGCGCCCAAGCAAGCTGCTCGATCTGCTTGTCCATAAATATACTGCCTATCTTTCTATAGATTTTTTATTTTAATACGTATTCATGGCTTAAGGGGAAACATACAAAAGCAACCTGACATTTAGATACTTTTTAGTTTACAAATGTATGCATAAAATTATATCATATAATCTTGACATCAAGGTACTGATTTACGCTGTAAATGTTAACCTCAATTATAGTTATTTCAGTTCAAGACTCCATCTTTCCATCAACATTATGCCGTCTATTATTGCCCAAAGCTCAAGTACATAAAAATTTAATTACAAAATACGTAATAAAATCGTAAAATAATTTAGACAAGCAGTACTTTATTACTGAAATAAGTAATACGTCAAAAAAAGATAGATAATAGTACTAAAAAGATTAGTATGCGATAAAAAGATCGTCAGCAAGAGTATACCCGTAATTTATAGCATCTTCTCTGAAATTATCAATCTCAGTGGAGACACTTCTCCAATCGTAAACATAATTCTTCTTTGGTTCATATTGGCTGCCGTAACTTGGCCAATGAGGAATTCCATAAATATCATGGTTATTTGGATTTAATGTAGTGATGAAGGAAATCCATTGTTTACTAATAACCTCAGCCATGGTGACAGCTTCACCTTGATGATTTCTGTAAAGACCATCACGATTAAATAAAGATATCAAAGTTTGATTTTGTTGTTGAGGAGAAAGAGATTGGAAGCGTGTTTGATTATTGTCAAAATTCCAACGCAATTCTTGGGCATGAGTTGCACCTAATTGCTCATCAGTACCATTCAAGTATAAGTTCCATCTGTATGTATAAGCAGTCAAGTTTTTAGAGACCCAGTTTTCGGCAACTTGTCTCTTTGGTCCAATAAACATAAGGTCACCAGTGATAGATGCTGCTCTACGGAATCCCAGACCATATCCTTTGAATGAAACAGGGAATGGTGGTTGATATGGCGGTTGGAATTCTGGATTCTTATCTTCGTAAAGATCTAAAATAGTATCTAGTTGGGATTCGGAAAGATGGGTATACGTTGCAGCTAAATATTCTTTGATATCTTCAGTATCAATGGTGCTACTAGTAAATGCAGTTCCTTCGTCACTATTAGCACCAATAATAATTGGGACCTTAGTAAAGTTATTGTTAACAAACATTTGACTTGGAACTGCTGGAACATAGTCATAATCGATTGCAATACGATCAAATACATTATCACGGATAATACCGAACTCTGGATTAAAAGCGTTAATGATGTCAGTAGCATTTTCATAGTTTTGGATACAGGCAAATGTATCTTCTTCATTGTCACATCCTAGGTAAGCAGTAATATTGTTATAGCCTTCATTGAAGACATCACTAGTTGCAATACCCATGGTATTAGCAGTGGTTGCAAATCCAGAGTCCATAATAGCACCTCTTATATAGGATGAATTAAGTCTTCCAGAGCCTAGTTGTGATGAAATAGAGATTGCACCAGCACTTTCTCCCCATAAAACAATATGATTTGGATCTCCACCGAATGCATCAATGTTTTCTTGCACCCATTCAATAGCCATATGTTGGTCTTTTAAACCGATATTGGTGTATCCTCTCTTGACGATTTCTTCTCCACCAAGAAAACCGAAACCTGAAAGTCTATAGTTGAAACTAACACCTATCATGGGCTTGCCCATTTCAACACTTTCTTGAACGACGTAACTTAGATTATAAGCATCAACAGAACTGACACCTTGGTAGAAACCACCTCCATAAATGTACATCAACACAGGTAATGGTCCAGTTGTATTAGCAGGACGAATGACATTAATACCAAGACAATCCTCAGATTGTTCCAAACCCCAGTTATCGCCACCGTCATAATTACCTAAGTTCATACATGATGGAAGGTATTCTTTAGCATCTCTTACTTCAGAAAATGATTCATTAACTGATTGAGGGTTAACAAATCTTAATGATTGAAGTGGTGGCTGCGCATATCTCATGCCTAAGAAGATATCTTGATCAAAAGAATCTAAGTATGTACCAGTATATGTACCGTTTAGAGTCTCAACAGTAGGAGCACTTTCCAATGCACTAGATGTAGCAGAACTAACGGATCGAGCTTCGTCTCTGCGTGCAACAGGACTAGCCAAACCTATATGGAAAAGCGCAAATATGGCAATGAATTTATTTGTGAAAATCATGGATGCTTAATATTATCAGCCAGAAACTAGGCAGGATCCAAGGAAAAAACTTCATCTTTATATATTAAATTTGAACTAAAAACAGCTCAAGTAATGATGTATCCTGTTTTATTACGGTAATATGATTTCCTAATGGAGAAGATTCAGTAATCGACTAAAATCTAATTCCTGCAACTTTGTGAAGATCAATAAAGGGTGGAGTATTCATTAACAATAACAGTTCGAGATAAATGATCCGGTTGATTAGAAAGTCTTAAACGATGGATAGGATGTAAAATAAATTCACCCTTATCAGTTGCAAATGAGTATGTAGCCGTATTGGATTGGGAATACATCGCCAACTTACACCATATACACTTCAAAGTTTAGTCTTCTTTATACCTGGAAAATAGCAGAAACTTTCTATTTACAATCTCAATAGAATTAATTTCTTTGTTACAATAAGTATTGTGGGGGAAGATTCGGATATATTTCCTTTTGCGGTAAAATCCTCAGTTGTATTTGTTTAGTTATGGCCTTCATCTCTCCATTAACTACAAAATAACCTAATAATATCCTAAAATAATTCAGATAAGTAGTATTTTAAATCAAGTATAGTATTATTTAAAAGAATTGGATATTGATATTACAAAGACTAGCATGCTTAAAAAAGAAACTCATCGGTAAGAGTCGATATATTTATTGCTTCTTTTCTGTCTTTTCTGTAATTATCAATTTAAGTAGAGACACTTCTCCAATCGTAAACATAATTTCTTCTGTGGTTCATATTGGCTGCCGTAACTTGGCCAATGAGGACTTCCATAAATATCATGGTTATTTGGATTAATGTAGTGGTGAAGTAAATCCGTAATAATTTCAGCCATTATCACATATTTAATTTAGTGATTCTACAAACCGCAGAAAAGTAGAATATTAATACTTCAAGTATAGGATAGTTTATTATTAGGGGGTAAACCAAATATTAATTTGTGTACGTGTGGTGATTCCCGTTATGACTAATCCGGTCTGTGTGTTCTTATCAGATACTTGGGAAGATAGGGGAATATCATATCACAAACGAATAATTTTATGAATCCCCAACAGCTTAATGACAATTTCTTCATTGGACATTATTTTTTTAATCGGTTGTATCCTACTAGACAAGAAAGATTCAGAACAATATCTTCATATCTTAAAGTCTTGTCTACTGCCGTAGTAGTATGCTATCAACCAATAAGAATTATTCGAGTATTCGAATAGATATACCCTATGGAGTTGACGAATAATAGCCTAGGAGGCAACAACTCAGATATTAATAGGATTTTGGGATCTATATAGTATGTTTATTTCGATAATCAGAAAAGCAAAGCATTATCCTATTGTATATGCATCGCAATTTTCTCAACCAACGATCTCTGAAAATGATCCCACTACTTACACTGGAATGATAGTCACGATACAGTAGCACCTATTCGCACGGCAAACCTTTTCAGTGTCCACCATTCAGCCCAATCCGCTCTGATGGACTAACTGTATATAATGATAATAAGTTTTTACCATCAGGACTTTATAGAATACTTACTTCGATAATCAGAATAGTACAGCATAATCCTATTAGTTTTTTGTATTTTGCATCTCGGCTTTCTCAACCGACAGTTGTCTGAAGTTGGCCCCCCTGATCTACTTATACTAGAGTGATAGAGTGATAGAATGATAGTCACGATACAATGGCCTCTATTCGCATGGCAAATCGTTCTTTTCGATATTCACAATCGAACAACCTGAGCCTCCACCAGGCCAAAATCTATGACGTCAGTTTATCAATCTGAATAGTGTCTACAGTTCTAATAACCTGATTTAAAAAGAATCCACTTGTGTGTCAACATACGAAAACGGAATTTTTTCTTCTGCTGATCCATAGTTAGCTACGTCATATAGTCGTAGCGAGCGAATTTTGACTCACTTTGGAACACTTCTATTAATATACAGTCGGCTTAAAATTATTTTCAAAATCGAGCCAAAACATTCGGAATGTACCCTGCAATGTACCTATTATTATTAATAAAATTGTAATTTGGTATATATACATTTATTATATTTTGTTCTATTTGTTTGACATATTGATGGTTGACAGGTTGAAAGGTGTTTGATCATATAATATGCCTGCAATTAACAAGACGTCTCCGGTATTACTTAAAGAGCTGGTGAACGTCACAAGAGAAGCTGAGAACGTTGGACAAACTCAAATAAACAAACATGATGCTCAAACAATGCAGCTGCTGCTGCTGCTGTTGCTGCTACACGAACCACTTAGTGAATCAAGACAAGGCGAAGAAAGTTCAGAATTAAGAGATTCGGATCCTGAAGATCATCATAAGGACGCCCAGGAGCTGATGAACTCAAAGTTTGCTAATGAATATAATACGAATTCCAGGAAGAAGCGGGCATCTAAAGGCAGGGTATTTCAATGCACGGGGTACCCTGATTGTAATATGTCGTTTACTAGATCGGAGCATTTAGCGAGGCACAAAAGGAAACACACAGGTGAAAGGCCGTTTACTTGTCCCCATTGTCATAAGAACTTTTCAAGGTTAGACAACTTGCGACAACATAAGCAGACGGTTCATGCGTATGAAAACTTGATGGGTAGGAACTCAAATAATATGCCTATTCCAGCCAATTACAACTCTAGTGGTACGGGTGGCAGCATGGCCGATACTAATAATACTAACAACATTCCTACTCCAAATCATTTACCCAGGTATAATGGTGCAAATAAAGGAATCCCAGAGAGTCCGTTGAATTATGGCTTTGGCAATTCGCCTAGATCAACCACGATGATCTCTCCCCCAAATACAAATTCACCTGTAAACTATCACATGCCATACCAAAATCAGCCATATCAAAGTCAGCCATATCAAAATAACAGCTTCGAGCTGAGTAACAATAGTGTAAATAATAGCCATAATAGCTTCCAGTATCCGGAATCACAGATCAAAACTAAAATTAACGAATTCAAACCAAAAAGAAGACCACGGCCCTTATCATTAGTTCATTCATTCACCGATAACGCAGCCCCTGAAAATAACAGTTTACATATAGGACAACTGTTAAAATCAGCGCCGGCGATGTACAATACGAACGGTGCATTCACATATCCACCAAAATCGGCCCCGTTGACTCCAAATATGGTTAGTCCGTTGTCGCCGTTATTTCATCATACGTTCAATCAAACAATGGATTTACCCAAATCACCTCATGTCTCATCGAAAACTTTACGCTTACCACCTTATAATCACCCTATCAACAATAATAACATTCCAAGTAATCCTGCGGACAAGAATATTACATTGCCACCTGTTCAGGAATTGCCTATTCCAACGCAATTTAACCCAATAAAAAATTCGAAATCATGGTTAAAAGAGGTATTAAATGATGATTCCGCTGCATCCTCGAGCAGTACGAATGATACTAATCGTCTATCGGTTACACAAGAAGATAAACACGTTTCGAAGAAACCGACAATTAATAACTTGTTATCCCCATATGATGATGATGAGTTTCCAAATTCCATAAAATGATTGTCTATTCAAAAATACCACTTTGCCAGGCGACAAACTTTAACGATACATTATTTGGCCATTTAGAGCAATTTTAGCAACTATTCTTATTGGACATGGTTGTGCTTCGCATGTGCAATTAGAAGTCCATCTGCCTGTTCTTAATCAATAGATTCTGCTTTTCACCGTTATTTATTAGAATTAGTGATGACTAGGTCCGTACGTTTTTTCACATTCGAAACAACCTATTACTCGGTGCATTCTAATTGAATACCATTCGTATCTTTATATAAAAGATCACATTATTCCTATATTTCAGATAACTATGTTTGAGATCGCCTAGTTCATAGACATACATTCATTACGATTATTCGTCATAACGAAATTCCAGTTACAACTTTAGACATATATATTATATCACGACTTATTTACAAATACTTAGATTCGGTAGCATACATATTATCAGAAGCTTTTATTGTCTATCATATCTCTATTGGAGCTCATAAAGTACGATCGCATTACCTCATGTTCTTTTGGTTCTGTGCGGCAGATCCAAGAAAATAAATACTTGGGGAAAAAATTTTGCTTATGTAGTTAATATTCACAAGTATGTATTGAAAAAGAATGGTTTAAGTAGTTAATATGACAGACAATTTTGACAAAGAGAATGAAATAGAGAAGGAAAATGTATTTTTCAATGCAAAAGCGCCTACGCCATATGAAGAACCATGGGAAGAATTGTCTGACGACCACAAACAATATTTAATTGATAAACATGGCACTTATAAATTAGACCCAATACCGTCGATCAGTGATGAAGATCCTTTGAACTGGCCGACGTACATAAAAGCTATACAGTTGGGGATGCTTTCATTCCATGCATTTTCGACAACATTTATGGCTGCTGGGTTAATTCCATCCTTTGCAACCTTACTGGAAGAATTTAGTACCTCTGTCAGTGCTTGTTCATATTTCACCTCGACACAAATTTTAGTGTTAGGGATATTTCCATTATTGTGGGTTCCTTTGATGAACAAATATGGAAGGCTCCAATTATTAATAATATCAGCTTTAGGTTCATGTGTTTTCAATATTGGTTGTATATTTTCAAACAATTACAAAGACTTAATGATTTGCCGTATATTTGGTGCTTTCTTCGTTTCCCCCGCTATAGCTGTGGGAGGTGGGGTTGTGTCTGAATTGACATTCAGCCATCAAAGAGGCTGGTGGACTGGTTGGTGGGTTGTCGGTGTTACTTTAGGAACACATGTTGGTCCATTTCTTATGGGCTTTGTTCAGTATCAAACAGGAAACACTAAATATACCTTTGTTGTATTTGCAATAATGAATTTCTTGCAATTCTTAGGGTATTTGACGATGGGAAAAGAGACTGTGTACAATTCTATGATATACACTAAGTCAATAAATTCATTATTTAAAATACGACCAAAGACTGACTGTGACTTAAATCTTGCGTTAATATTGAGTCCATTCAAATGTATAAATCAACCGAAAGTTGTCATTCCTGCTATCGCTTATTCGATCACATTTTGTTATGCAAATGTTGCATGTGGAGTAGAATTGACGAGCTTATACCATGAAAAATTTAACTTCAACCCACAGCAGATTGGCTTACAATTTTTAAGTTTAATTTTGGGGTGTATATTAGGAGAGCAAATCGGTGGTTGGGTATCTGACCTTTGGATGAAGTACTTTCATTTCAAAAATTCAGAAAAAACCATAGAAGATCGCTTATGGTTATCGTATCCCGGTTTCGTTATTGCAATTGTAGGGTTGATCATTTATGGAGTCTTACTAGGCAATATCACTGATCATACGTGGAGATTTGGACCGCTAGTGGGTTTATGCCTTGCATCATTTGGCTTACAAATTATAACCACTATTTTAGTCACATACGCAATTGATTCGAATGCTACAAATGCATCAAACATAGCATTATTCATAACTGTGATACGGCAAGTATTTGGTTTTGTTGGGCCATTTTATTTTCCGGTGATGTTGGAGAATCCTAATCTAGGAATTAAAAGTACATACGGAATACTAGCTGCGCTAGTGGCAGCATTTGGATTAATACCAATAGCAATATTGCATCTATGTCGGTTTTTTGCAAAGAACTAGTTTACTTGGCTAACTGGTTTTGTAGATTTAGTTTTAGTTCATTGATGCTAATTAATTTTTGCTCTATAATCAAAACTTCTTTGTTGCTTTGAGTTTCATCTAACATGTGCATTAGACGTTCACATAATTTGCTTAATTTTTCGAGGTAGCCTATGTATGTGACATATCTTGACCACAATTTTTCAGAGGCCGCAAATTTCAAAGGGATCTGGTTCGCTTTAACATCTCTCGTAATTTCCTGTCTATATATTTCAATATCTTTCCTTAAAGATGGCAACATAGTATTCAATATAAACAATTCATAATCTTGTACAATGCCGTACAATTCAGTATTAGTCTTCTTTTTTGAAACTTGTAATCTTTTCAATTTCTCATTATCCAACAATAATTCCTTAATTCGGGGATTCTCCACTTTGTCTATAAGTTCGCTCTCAATAGACATTTCATCCAATTTATACTTCTGGTTTAATAGTTGCCTTAATGGATCTGTTTTGTTTTCAGTCACTGAATCATCTTCGGTATCTATTGGTAATTCAGGAAATTGGAAATCATTGTCTATCGTGTAAGTTAATCTATTCAATATCTCTGCATTTTCTTCAACTATCTTAGAAAGTTTATTAACAGATTCTAATAAGGGCTCGATATTTTCCGTATTCAATAGGAAGCTAAATGAATTATTGTATTTTGACATCATGAGAGGAAAATATCTGAATTATCATTTGGTCTCTATAATATTTTTAATCTGATATATTGTTACACAAACTACAATAAACACGAGGCTATTCACAAAAGATATGAAGTAATTATTTACAATAAATTCAGTTAAAAAATTAAGATGAGTTCTGTCTGAAACAGATGTATAAAAAAAGTATATATATTTATATGGACATTAGAAAAATATCATGAAATCATTAAAGTAAAACTTAGCGTCGACTGCATTTGAATTAATCTTACAGCTGTTGCAACTGCGCATTTTTCCGTTCTTCTTTACCCTTTTTCATTACTTGCTTCAATGCAATGCTATCCAACGGATCTAATAATTCAAACAGACAAAGTAACTCGTCACTCACACTCATAACTGCACCCCAGTTATCAAATTCACCACAGTAATTTGGAGCAGAAAAAACTGTCACCAATGTTCTATCATTGAAGAATTCATAACCATCCTCAACAACCATATGGGCTCTACAGACCAAATCAAATCCGAATTTCTGTAGGAATTTGTTAATAGCGACTCTGGAGAATACGTACGACACGCCTCTCTCATTATCTTCCCATTCATTCATTGTGTCAGCCGGATCTGACCATAGTAAATCATTTAATAAACCGAAGTCTGGAACATCAGTTGGCCTTGCAATGTTTCTAATCTCTTCCATTGAGTTAAGCACTGGAGATAAACCGCCATGAACACAAAATATTTTTCCTGCTACAATTGCAGCTATAGGTAAAGTATTAAAGGTATCTATGAATAGCTTCCACGTCTTAATATTACAACGACGCTTACATTCATCATAAAACCCGTAAACTCTGGTAACGTTTGCACATTCATGATTTCCTCTTAAAAGAAAAAAATTCTCAGGATATTTAATTTTATAACATAGCAAAAGCAAAATAGTTTCCAAAGATTGCTTTCCTCGATCAACATAATCACCTAAAAATAAGTAATTCGTCTGAGGAGGAAATCCACACTTAGTGAAAACTCGAATTAAATCACCATATTGACCATGTACATCACCAACCACTTTAACAGGAGGGCTTAGTTCCAATAGTGATGGTTGCAGTAAGAATATATTCCTTGCTTTTGCACAGATCAACTGAATTTCATGATTTTTGAGACAAACGCTCTTTGTTTTCTTACCGCTGTAACCCGCATCTAATAGTCTTTGAATCAAATTTTCAATATCAATAGAGCCACTATCATCGCTTTCATTAGATTCAGTAGTTGAGCTATGCAGTATGTTAGTAATCAGTACATCCTTATTTCTATTTTCATTTAACAGTTGGCTATCCAAATTCTTAGTTGTATCCTCTTGTAAATCTTTAGTACTCCCGTTCGCACTAGATGATGTTGGTTGTGGAGATAATGGATAATTATTAATACTTCCAGAATGATGTGAATGGTTTGTTGAGGTTCTACTTATATTGTTGGAAGGATTATTCGAAGGATTGCTGTTATCAAATGATGATGCCAAATGAGGTGAATTCGAATTAAATGAATGGTTCTTGGGACTTAATGGTGTATCTTCTCCATCTGTACCAGTATTTCGTCTAATTAAAATTGGCTCTTTAGGCTCCACTTGTATCATCGATGGTGGTAAGTTGAAATTATTATTCGAATGCTGATTTGATGGATTTTTATGTAAGCTTAAATTCGAAAACGAATTAGATAAATTAGCACTGGAGTTATTATTTGAGTGAGCACTGTTATTCCCGTTATTCGGTATGTTCATACTATGACTACTGCTGTTCATATTATTCAAACTAGTCGATGAATTCTTGCGTGAAGTAGCCTTCGATCCCGTCTTTGGCGACCCACTAGTTGAATTATCATCCCTCAGCATAGATATCCTTGATCTGATCGATCTTGAAGACTTTGCCGAGTTTCCCGTGTCTGTACGCGATAATGGAGACCCCCTCAAGTCCTTAGGCTTCGATGAATTGTTCCCCATTCTCCTAATTTTAAACTATCAATGATTTTAAAAAAACACTCTGAAAAAAAATTCCCCTTTCTCACTTTAACGTCTCGTCAGAATTAACGTTACTCCTAAATAACTATATCAAATATTGCTATAAATTAGGTTTTATATTCCAATATGTGTCACTCCCAAAAAAAATCAATCAAAATGTATATCAAATCAATCAATCAATTAAGAAGTTCTATTGTTATTGTTTCCGACTCTTAGTTATGTATGAACCTAACGAACGAGTGAACTAATCAATATCCTTAGCCTTAAAATGACCAAGTGTAATCATTTCTTGATATTGCTTCAAGATGGGTTCAAGGCGCGATTTGGTCATTATTAATTGATACTGTATATAGTAAATGTTCAATTATCCCTATCAAACTATTCTAGAACAAGAACGCCTTTCCAAGAGAGCTTAGGTAGATGTTCGTATCATAGATAATGAACAAAAATACGTCGTAATTTTACTTACTAATTAAATGATTCATTTAGGTACTTCTTGAGATAGGTATTCTTAGTCCATGCTGCTACTGGAAAGGGAATGTTGCAGTTCGTTGGTCACAGATAAGTGAACGTACAGCGCATACTGCTATGTCAAAGAATAAGAAGATTGTTGACAGCGAATATCTACTGTAGACTTCTGGAACCATTCAATTTATATTTAAATGAAGAAATTACGTAAACCTAATGTAATTGAAGGAAAAAAGGATTTGATGCACATTGCTGCATTTTGAGGCTGATAAAAGAGTGCACATCGAATATAGTGTTAAGCGTCGTGATACCGTGGAAACTTCCTACATGCTTTAATTGTTAGGATGTGTAACATAAATAGTACCAACTCATCCAATGTTGGCCTGTCAATTGAATCCTGTACATTTATACGATTTTCGTAAAATTACTCTGAAATATAGAAATTTTCAAAGATTTGGTTATTTTGCAAGAATTCAGTATTTGTTCTTTTTCACACAATTAATGATATATTTAGCTCATTTTTGTTTACTATCATCCTTTATTGGGCTAAAAGGGTTATCTTGGGCATGTACGTTCAGATTTTTTTTAACAATTGAGTTATGCACAAAATAGTTGTTATTCCATATTTATCGAAGGAAATTATCTAATACAAAGTTCACGCTTATCGAATATCAGTTTAAGAAGCTATATACCAATATCATAATCAAGTATGATATATCGTTTATTTAGGTTCTAAATGCTTCATGCCATTTCTATTCAATAGACTTATATAGTGACCAAAATAGGATCACTCTCCGTTATTTGGTCAAGAAATTCAATAGGACGTGAGCATTCGTAGAAAACGTTGCCGGTAACTTAGCAATAATTGGCGTCTACCAATGGTGGATTATCGTGCAATTCAACAAGTATATTGTAAGCTCTTTCTTCATTGAATAATGGTATTTCGATTGCATTATGTTCTACTTAATTAGGCATCGTCTAAGAGAGTGTATTTTGCAACCTGTTCATGTATTTTTCCAATGACTTCTCATTAAATATTTCAAGATATACAATTAGCTATCGATAGTATGAGCTTAGTGTATTGTAATCAACATCTTCTACCCGTGTAAAAAATCTTTAACCTGCTTATTGAAGATACTAACAATATATAAATTCACCAGACCCACTTATCGCGATGTAAGAAAAAATTTATTCTTTTCTCCAAAATCATAATGACTATCATGTTAAGATCTATTAACTCTAACTCTCTAGGAAAGATAAATCTTAGTATCATCAGGAGGTTTTCTAATTCCGTTAATATATATAATAAGTCAAAATCGAATAACGAATTTCAATCTGAGAGTGATCTTTATTTTGGAAAATTTACCAAGGAAGAATACGATAATGCAGCTAATCAGGTTAAAAACCAAATAAACCGTTTGGAAAAGGAAATAAAAGGTGATGTCAATATTCGTCAAAATATAGGTACAATGCCAACTCTTCCAGCGATGGCTAATAGTGCAAAGAAAATTAGAATTGATGACTTAACAAACCTCTTGTCTGAAACTATCAAGACTACGGGTCCAATATCTTTACTGGCCTTTATGCGACAATGCTTAACACATCCTCAATTTGGTTACTATACTACTCGTGACCCGTTGAATGCTTCAAGTGGAGACTTCATTACATCACCGGAAATTTCTTCCATGTTCGGGGAAATGATAGGTATATGGTTGTTCAGTACTTGGTTAAATCAAAATAAACCACAAAAGTTGAATATTATAGAATTTGGTCCTGGAAGAGGGACTCTTATGTACGATTGCTTGAAATCATTCAATAAATTCAAGAAGAATTTAATTCAAGAAGAAAATATCGAGATCACCATGATAGAAGCTTCCTCCATTTTGAGAAAAGAGCAGTGGAAGTTATTGTGTGGAAGCAATGAATTTATCACCAATAGTGATGGATTCAATATTTCACGGACTCAATGGGGCAATAGAATAAAATGGGTTGATAATGAAACAGATATCACCAAAGATGAGAACGTTGCAAATTATATCATAGCCCATGAATTCTTTGATGCTTTACCTATTAAAAGTTTCCAAAAAACGAAGCATGGATGGAGAGAACTTGTGGTTGAGCATACACCGAGTGTTGATAATACTCAACTTTCATTGCCTGAAGATGCTTCTTCAAAGTCCACCACAGAGAATAACGATCTATTGAACACGGAATTTCATTTAACATTGTCTCCAAAGGAAACCAGTTCTTCAGTTATCCCAGACTTAAATCCAAGGTTCAAACATTTACCTATAGACTCAAGAATTGAAATTTGTTCAGATGCTGAATTATATGTTTTGAAGATGGCTCAACTCTTGAATAATGAAAAGGCAATGGGTTCGGTATTAATAATTGATTATGGAATAAGTGAAGGGATTCCTGATAATACATTAAGAGGTATTTATAAGCACAAGTTTGTTTCACCATTTATAAATCCTGGGGAAGTCGATTTATCGGTAGATGTCGATTTCACCAACCTTAAGAATATAACCGAAAAAATATGCAAGAGTTTTGGACCTGTCGAACAAGGTGATTGGCTACATGAATTGGGTATCGGTTATAGAACTGATCAATTAATCAAAGCAAACAATGGAAATGTGAATGCTCAAGAGAAGATCTATAATGCTTATCAAAGATTAACTGGTAAAGATGAGAGAAGTATGGGGAAAGTCTATAAATTTCTCTGTTTAACACCTCATGAATCGAAATCACCTGTTGGGTTTGGAGGATCATTATAATTGCCGTTGTTAATAGACATCTAATGTAACATAAAGTTATAGATTTAATATCATCTAATAATTAATTAATTGAACCTTATCGATTGAAATAGGCTTGAGCTATTTAATATTGATAAGTAAGAAGTTGTAAAAGTAAATTGATGTCAACAGTATGAAATATAGAATATTTGGGAATGGTCTTCTAGCAAGCTCAAAAGCTGTTAAAGAGGGTACCAATCAAGTTTATTCAAGAATCCATTTCCATTTATTGATTGCCTTAAATGATGCATTATGTGAGAATTCACAATAGCATAAACAGTAGTGTTTCAATAGGAGTCTTATTTCTTCGATCTCATCGACCAATTCTAACCGGTTGATGCGGGCTAAATCCTTAGTGTTTATCCATGCTTTCGTAGAATTATCTGAATCATATCCTCCAACATTACTCATATCTGTTAACTTAACATTCGATGATTGGCATTTTTCTGACAAAAACTTATATCGTGCTTCTAAATTTGGATATTCATTAAAAGTTAAAAGATTAATACCTCTATTAGACAAGTTATGTGTCATCGTTGTTCCGAATGCATCATTTAACGACATGGGTTCATAAATTAAAAGTGCTAATAATGCTTTTGAAGCAAATGCATTCTTCCAGAAATCTATGATTCTCTCATTTTCTTCTGGATTAAGGTAGCATAAGACACATTCACTTAGTATAAGAGTTGGAAGTGACGTATCCACATATTCGAGTAATGCACTAGAATCCAAAGTTCCTGTTAACTCACGTAGATCGTAACCTACAAGATGATAGTTTTCAGTATGAATATTCGATTCAAGTCTTGCAAATTCTTCCTTCGAAGTTATAGATTGGCTCTTTTCATCATACTTGACAATATCTGCTAGCTTTTTATCGTTTATAATTGCCAATTTTTTAATTTTTACTGATTCAGGAAAGTCAATTTCACAGTATCTAACATCTTGGCCATACTCCTCCAAGATTCTAAAGCATCTAGTGTCCGAACCACCGCCTAAAGATATAACCTGGCACTTTTTGAATTCTTTTATAAATTCTTGAGTTATAACATCTATCAGCTCTGTTCTCAAATACGTACCTCTATTAATCAATGGTAATTTCTGCTCATTAAAAACAGATCTTAGCGTTCTACTTGCGGACATATTAGTATAACCAGTGCATAAAGGAAGATGTATTTTATATGAAGAAATAAGAGAATCAATAAATGGATCGGGCTTCGAAAAGTACGACTTGTTATTTGCACTGTAACGACAACTGAGAGCGTCTAGATCCGTAGCCCTAATTACCTTATCTTGCTTTTCTTGAGGTGATATCATTTCGCCTACCTTCCTTATGATAAGAAAGATATTCAGTAATCTACATCAATTTCTAACCTACGCGAGTGTATATACAGATCACAAAATGTATTTTTTTTTATTCAGAACTGAACTCAAGTCAATCTTTTCTTATTATTACCCACCAATTATCCTTTTCATATCCTTGATCTACCAAGGAACAGCCGCCTGCTGCAAGTGCATTATCTACAAGCTCTCCCTTTCTATATAAATGATAGTATCTGTATTTAGTTTCTGGCACATCGGGTTTATCTTCTTCCATTAAATCCAGAGTAATTTGGGAGCTCTGTTGATCTTGTTTCTTAGTTCTTCCTTTAGACTTGTCTTTCTTTTGTTTATTTTGTAAAACCCACGGTATCAATATGTCCTGATCATCACCTTCTTTATAGCCACGCCTAGAATTTTCTTGTTCTAGCGCCCAGCAGTATATCAAAACTTCACCTCCGCTTCTCATTTTTTGAAGAATATGTTTAATTGCCAATACCCTTCTTTCCACTGTTGCAAAATGGTGAATAACCGCAATTGAAATTGCAAAATCAAATGTGTTATTTGGATGCGGTAAATTCAACCCGTCGGCAACACCCACATTATAAGTATTATTCGACAAATCTTTAGCACAAGATATCAACCCATCAGATCTATCAGTACCTATCATAAACAACTTTTTATTTACACTAAGATACTTTCCATTTCCACACCCGACATCTAGGCCAATGGAGTAATCTTTCTGATTCAGAAGGAACTTCTCAACGATTGGCCATGGCTTATAACGTGTCTGAGAAAAATGTGGTGCTATTTCATTATAAACTGTATGAACAAAGTCATTTTCCTGATTCACAGGGTCAACTTCTTTATTTAAAGATGGGAGTGTCATACTTGTACAGTAAAACTTGAATTCGTCTTCACCTTTTCAGATGAGTTGATAAAATGTTTTGATTACCATCACGTGCTGGGTGGGATTATTTAAAAATCAATTATTTTAAGGAATATTCAAATATAATTTACCATAATGAATTCAAAAACAAAATATTATAATAGTACGTTTTTGTACTTTATAATATGCTTGGTAGGAGTTTTATTTCCTTTAGTATCATTATCCAAGAACAATTCAGCTTTATCTATTGAGAAATTGCAACGAATGAAATCATTTATTATCGATGATCTTGCGATAACTATTCCTATATCTGTACGCTTTGGCGATAAGGGATTCAATTTTCCAGATTTAATGGATGCAACTCAAATGGAATTGGATTATGAATTACGCAATACTGTGAATACTAGCTGGCGTTTCAAATTGATTAATGAGCTTGCAAGAAATTGGACATCTTCTGACGATGGACAATATATTCTAGAATTAACTCATTCTGACGATAATTTTGTAATAGTTGAGCCTAATACATGCAAAGCTCAGGTGCATTATTCTCAAGCATCAGTTCATGCCAACGATTTGCCATTTTTTATAACTCAAGCCACGTTAGAACATTTGATGTCAGCTGAAATTGAATTGCTAGGACTTCTAAAGTCTCCTGACAAAGCATTAGACAGTCCTTTCATTGATGCAAGAATTATTATAATTGGCCTGAAAAGTAGGCATTATGCAGACATATTCGAAGAGAATCTTACGCCGCTCAATTCTTTCGCGAAAGAAGTATTGGATATTTCGAATGTAACAGTAACGGTGACGGCTTTAGAATCATTAACTGAAGATGATAGTATAATAAATGCACCCAGTTCGCTTTATTATTTTTATTCCGATATCCACAATGAAGCGCTTATTTCTAACAAAACGAATTACCCAAATCGCATCTCATATATATACAATGATTCAGTAACAAACGACGATGCGGTTAACTTTATATCAAGGATTACTGATGACTTAAAAGGTTTCATGGGATTACCAAAAAACCCCACTGATAATTTAGCTATAAAGGTACTCGTAATGAAACGTTATCTCACATTGAAAGCAATAATTGAATCAATAGATCATTTAACAGCTGCAACCTTGGGAGATAAAAATAGTTTCTCGGGACAAATAGAAAAATTCATAAGCAATTTAAATCCGATTATTGATTGTTTACATAAAAATGAATCCAAACACGATTGGAACAATCTACTCGCTTGGAGTAGATATTTTAAAGAATCTTCATCTCAGCTTCTTCAGGACTCGCATCTACCTATATAAAATGTACTATATCTCATCTATTAGAGAACCATATGGTTACCTGTCAATCAAAACTTTGTCAGTAAAATGATTAATATATATTTCAAACTGCTTTATGTACAATAACCATTTTTGCACGTGATCGTTTTTCTACCTCTTATTTTGTAAATATTGAAGATGAGTTTAACAATACCCATAGTCAAGACAATATTATGGATACGGAATATGAAGAGGATGACCATCTAAGCGACGTTAGTTTAGATGAAGAAGATGAAGAGTTGATTTGGAGAGTCTTTTATAGTTCTCTTGAAGAGAAAACACGAGACTCTCCATTAATTGATGATGGCAGTGAATTTAGCGAAAGTGATGAATTAGACTATTTAAGTGACGTTTCAGACATAGACGATCCAGAGCTTGTTTCAAAGTATAAAGAATTGAAATCGCAGAATATTGGAAATTTAAATGAAGAAGAGAAAAAGAGATTGATAATAGCTAACTTTACAGATGATCAAATGGAAAGATTTGAATCCTATAGACGAATGACGGTCAATAAACCCGGAGTAAAAAAGATTTGCAATGGAGTGCTTGGTCATTCAATTCCACAAAACATAGCTGTTGTTTTAGCTGGTCTATCAAAGCTGTTTTTAGGTGAGATAATAACGAGGGCATTTGAAATTCAGGAAAGAGAAAACAAAGCACAATTAATCCTTGATATAGACAACAAGAAAAAACAAAAATTAGATATCCTTAAAAACTTGGAAAATGGAAAAGAGATTGAAGTAGATGATAGAAAATTGCAATATCAAGGCGATACTCAGAAACCGCTTCTCCCCGAGCATATACGTGAAGCTTGGAGGCTTTACAAATTGGAAAATAGTGGCGTTTTTAATGCACAATGGCGTAGTCAAGGCGATGCCGATGGTAAGCTTTTTCGCTGAAAGCTTAATTAAGTTATATAATATTCTTAGGTTGAGTTGAATGCAATAAAAGTGTAAATACAGTGATGTCCTGCTGTTTTGGACATTTCTTTAACGCAGTACTTCAAGCATAATTTTAAAGTTTTTTAACAGCAACGTTGAGGTGAATATAAATTGCAATAACATTTAAATCGTTATTTCATCGATTCTGCAGATGTATCCTCTCTTAAACAATAAGATGAATTTTCAAAATCCAATGTAAACAGAATCTGGTACAGATCAATCTTTTATATATGCTATCGCTTAAATACCATTACTAAACATGATTTAATGCCCGACTTTAGATTATGTATTCTAAATTTTCGTACTAACTGAGCGATAATGGCCAAATCATTGTAGTCGTATTAAATAATTAAAAGACAAATAATGTAGAGCTCCATCCGTCGATTTGTTAATACGCCGTGAGGAAAGAGTGTGAAAAATGTGAAGGACATTTTTTCTTTTGCTGAACTAATCTTCTAGAAGCCAATTCATGTATTCTATGTGTCTCGAGTCGATAAAAAATATCGAGAAAATTTAAAATTGTTCCAAAATATATATACTTACTTCCTTTTTAAATTAAATTGTAATAAAATTAGAGATATCATTTTTATTGATAGCAAATATGATAACAATTGTACTCCGAATTTAGGCATAAGTAAATTATACGTGAAAAGAGCAATTCAGCATTTTACCGATTTATTGATTGACTGGCTTATTGATGATAATGATACTTGAAGTATTTAAGAATATGTTTCAAAATAAATCAACTACGTTGTCTTTTTTGAAAAATTCCGGGATCAATTATGGTAGTGTAGTTATTAGTACTGATAAAAGATAAACATTTATCAAGGTTCAATTAATTTGTCTTGGCCCACCAGCTATTATTGTTGATCGCTTGCGCTATGTTCTTTCAAATATGTTTTTATTGAATTTTTTTTATTTATTACAGCTTACTGTAGCTGTGAGAATGGATTTCCAACCATTCTCTAGAGCGAATACTGGCATATTTACTAACACCGCTTGTTTTAACAAGGAATATGAGAGTTATAACAATGATTATGATTATAAAAGTTATTTTGGTGACAGCTTTGCTACCAACGGACTTGTTACAATTTGTTAAGCTAGTGGGTGTTAAAATAGCGAAGCAAGCCTTAAACCTGTCGGGAAATTATTCGATGCGTATAATATAGCTAAGAATTATGGGATTAGAGGTAATATAACAAAGAGAGAGACATTGTTATATAATGAAAAAAAAATACGTTGTGGAATAATGGAGATACAAATTTCCGTCAATTTCAGTCGTTAGCCAATTTGATTGAGGCAGATTATGGTTTAGTGAATACCTCAACACAAGTTATGAAGGATGCTTGGGAGTTTTCTGACAGTTCTAAGTTAGGTAACGCATCAGGACTTATAGGAACGGGTTTAGCTTTCAAGAGTGTTGAAGCACAAAAGAAGTGTAAACCTACATTTATTTTCACTGACAAAAATTTTAGTACAGTATCACCAAGTGTCGCATCTGACCTTGTCTATTTAATAAGAGTGATACCTAGAACAAAGGTACCGGAACATGCAGAACCAATACAAGAAATAAGGAAATAATCGAAGAAATAGCACAGGGTATTAGGTTGACTGGGGAAAGGGCAATGACTATGTACTGTTTAACTTTGACTGGTACATCTGGTTGGTTTGGTTCTAATGATTGGTACGGTCAAATTAAAATTATGTCAATAAAAAGCCACCAAAAATCAACTATGTTGACATTCCATGTAAAGAAAATATTAATAACGGCCATTGGTATAAAAATGAAATAGTGTTATGAAGTCCCAGTATCTACATTTTTGTCTCAATTATTACTGAAGATTTTATATTGCAAAGCTAATAAAATATCCAGCAGATTCTTTAGTTGTACTTTGTTGCAGTAAATACTCAAAGGTACATTGTCATTGTCAGGTTCCGGTTCACTTCAATCTTAATCTTGTTTAGCAGTGTTAATTATAATATATACTTTACTTCATTTCTAAATATTATCTTCGTTTATGAGGTTCAAAGACATCTTTATATAGTGTAAGGACTTGTTTAAGAATATAATTACGCATACCGTTGTTCCCAGGTTAACGGCCAATGGGAAGACAATGAAATACATAAGGCATACTATCGATTCCAGGCGTCCAAGAAAATAGCTATCCAAGCTATCGCACAACCGTTAGGTAAATGTAATCGTTATGAAACGGTCTAACTCTTCACTAGAATAATTTGCAGCCACTTCATAGAATTTATCAATACTAACGAAAATTTTAATAATGCGTGCAATTAAATGCAAATTAAATACAATCTGGTTGCAAAATAGATGAAATATCTATTTAATATCTCTAGCTTATAAGTTGATAAATGGGTCTTTAAACTTCACACATTGCTAACTTGAGTATTTAATTAAAAATATTAAGTAATTTTAATATTGTACTATATAGGGCCAGATTGAAAGATTACGTTGAGAGTATCAGGATAAGATATCGTCAACAATTTATTCAAATTATTCGAGCCAGTAATTCTCTGCTCCATTTTTTAGTATAACTTATCAATAGGAATGATATGTATTTTTGTTTTGTTTAATTTTTTCAAAAGAAAAGGTGAAGTAAATTGTTTATAAATTGACATATATGCATATGACTGCTGACAATTAGATATCTCTATTTCTTTTTTTAAAAAAAGCCACATCTTATCTGTCGAGATGCTTAACCTGTTTGACGATGCATTACGCTTGTAACTCAATCAGTATTTATTTGATTGTCTATGAATGCACAATTAACAAAGCTTCATCGTCCGCCTTCTTAGGCCATTTAAGATTGTGATCACATATCCAGGGTCAGAAAGAGTCTTATTCACAGTTAATCAGCTTGTGACGTTTCGTGTTTCCTAGCAACGTCATCTGCTATTTCGTCTAGTATCTGTTTCTGGGCTAAGTTGAACTTGTCGTGGGCTTCTCTACCAAACGTTGCACGTATCAAATACAGATATATCAAGTTATTGGTTATGTATATAGGGGTGAAGATAATTAACCCTGCTAGACTTATATATCCTATCATATGTTGATTATTGTAGGCTGTTTTTCTGCAGAGATGGCTTACTGATATTTCTTTTGGTGAGAATCCTCGTTGCTTCACGTGCAATCATGAATTTGTTGATTTTGTGTCACTATCAGATTCTATAAAGATTCTGAAACAAATCATTGTAAGAACCATAAATAGTTATGCTGGTGATACTGATAGTCATCAGAGGATATGGGAATAATCTTAATGAGTTGAAACGAAACAAGAATATAAATTAGGAATGAATCTTCAAGAAGAAGATGATTTTTCTAATTAACGAATAGTAATTAAGCAGAATATACTTAATTAAGACCATCCTAAAAAGTCATCGATAGGTAGGTCGATCACTTAACTACTTCTATAGTAACTAATATTGATATATAAGACCAGTATATCTGTCATATTAAATACATAAGTATCCCTCCCTATATTTTCAGGTATTCACACTACCTTTATCATAATCCCAATAGATTAGAAGTCAAAGTTAGTATTACACTTCGATGTCAGAACAATTTTCGTATTCTGACCCAGTCATATCAAGCATGCAAAAGCAGTTAACAACAGGGACTACGATTTAAGCAACGAAGATGAAATTATTTCAAAAAGTCATAAAATCCATCATTCAAAATTTTCTCAGGTAATCAATAAGATTGATTTAAAGCCATTGACTTTAATCAGAAAGAAATTGTAAATAATGCAATTGAAAAAGCCAAAGAATTTTACCAATGCTATTTTGAGAATATTCCTTTTGTTCACATCAATGATGTTTCAACCTTGTTATTGCTTCAAAATGCATTCAATAAATTGTTATCAAACAACAAGGGTTTTGAAAAATTATTATTAATTAATGATCCAACAATACATGACTATGGAAAAGTAAAAATGTCTTCCGTATTTTGTCAAAATAATAATCTCCTTATTTGGTTTCCCGTTTTTAGAGAACTATTATCTCAATCATTATTCCATAAAACACTGGCTATACAGAAATATTATCCAGAATATGTATTTTCTTTAAATTATACATATAAATATATCTGTGATAATAGAGAAATATTTGCTAGTGAAACTTTATCGAAACTAATTAATTTCTATATCCACGCGATGGATAATCCTTTTATGGATATAACAGATATTTCAGTAACTGCTACTTATGGAACTGGTCAAGAAATTGGTTTGGAAATAAATGGTTTTATTAAAAATTTGGACCTATATCGAATAATTATAATTTACAAAAAGCTTAAGTTCAATATAAAGAACCTGGAAGCTTTTATTGATGAATTAACATTTGCTTATCTTGAATTTCAGAATAATAAGAACTTACTAAGCTTAGATCAAATCATTGTAAATTTGAAAAGAAATACAAGGTTTATTAAGCCCAAAAATTTTCAGGAGAGAACAGATAATTATTCAAATAAATTTGATAATAACAAAAAGAAGCAATTAAAGAAAAACAATAGATATGAAAATAGGAGTCAAAATTCTTCGAAGAATAATGATGAAAATTAACAAATTGGTAGTCACAATAATGATAAATTTATCTAGCTTTTCAATAAATAATATTACTTCAAGTTACCAACCAACAAATACATAAGTATCCTTCCCTATCTTTTCAGGTATTCACACTACATTTATCATAATCCCAATAGAATTTTCTACACGGAAACTCCTATACAAGAGTTTATACAGGTATTAGTTCTTGGTAGCAGTTGGGGGTAATCGATTAACAATAAGGTAGTACAACTAACAACCTCAGCCGACAAGCTGAGCGCAGTGTTTGCATCAAAAATCATGCCTTGAGATTTCTCAGTAAGGGTTCTACCGTTCACATATACTATTTTGATAACTACTAAACGGAACCCTAGTTTGATGAGAGTGATTCCACAATTAGCAAGGTAATCGTCAAACCTGGAAGACATGTACTCATCGCCAATATCAGAATCCAATAGTGATAGAAACGTTCTCCACACAAGATGAAATCAGAAATACACACAGGAACAGCAGCCTTGGTTGCAATCGGATAAACCGTCATATACCGAGTATAATCATCAACAATAACCACAAAATACCCGACATCTGTCAAGCTCCGTTGAGGAAAGGGTCCACACACATCAGAATGCACAGGTTCTAGTGCAGCCCGAACAGGACTACTTTCAGTAGTCGTTTGCTTATGAGGGAGCGTGTAACTTTCCCGAGCAGGGCATCACAAGTATCTTCAGATTCAGTAGATTTGGATTCGCAACTTCAGCATAAGTTTCGTCATGCCTTCCTACTGTTGAAAATAAGCACTAGGATGTCCAAAACGAGAATGCACATTGAAAGATGCATTCAAAATACGACCAGGTGTCATCGGGGCGGCCTTCGCGATAATAGGAACTTATAAAATCGATCGCACTCAGAACCAATCAGAGTGACAACTTTAAGACCTAAGTGAGATTCATGGACTGCATTGTGCAGAAAACGGAACAGCGCACCATGCAGTGTTGCTTTAGAGATCGAAATAAGGTTTCGATCACAAGAAGGAACTAAGCGAGATTCATGGACTGCATTGTCAGAAAGTGGACAATATTACCATGCAAAGTCGCTTTGAAAATTGAAATACGGTGTCGATCACAGGTTGGAGCATAGTGCACACCAGTAAGAGTAAGAAAGGGACCAGCCAGTAACACAAATTTTATGTAGCCAATGCGGTGCCGATAGTTAATAAATTAAGAAAGTAGGTGACTTTTATAAAAGAGAAACTTGGAATTGATCGTCACTTCACCTAGGGTGATTTCAGTGCGGCAAACAAAGCAACAGAACTATTAGGTTCAATAGCACGTGTAGACTTTGCAATAAGTTCACCTGTGTCGTTTCTGTTGAATTAAATTCTCAAAAGTAGCATACATTGTCATTGTCAGTATCAGGTTCAGTTAACAGTCTTGAAGTAATTTCTCTAAAGGGAAACTCATTTCAGTATTCATTTTTATCTTTTTCAATTTTTACTCAATATAACAGTTTTACAAATTAATCAATATTCAATAATATCAAATATATATTACTTACTATCTAAAATACAATCTGAATACCTTTCAGATTGACGTTCTTATATAGTAGAATATTGGGATTACTTGATTAGGCTCTTTACCATTAATAATTAATTTTCTCAGGATAATTAAAGTTCATTACTCAAACCAGTAATGAATAGTTTAATCAATTCTTAGTTCATAGGTCATCCCATCTATCTCAGAATGGGAATATTCATTGGTAACATTCAACTTCTTAACCCAATCAAGTATTTAATTTGAATTTGCAACCAGTTTGCATTTTCGCAAATAAATCGTATGCTCACTAAATATTTTATTACTAAATATTTCATTACCTCCCCTTAATCCTAATATTCGTCATTCCAGCTAACCCACGAAGATCTGTGAACTTTANCTTATTCAATCCCTTAGTTAGCATGTCTGCAATCTGGTAATTGGTGTCAATTTGACATAACTTGATTTCATTCTGAATGATGTGCTCTCTTATAAAGTGGTAGCGAATATCAATGTGTTTCGTGCGCTGGTGAAACACAGGATGCTCTGCAAGAAGAAT